TCGGGCTGATTCAATCTAATAGCTAGCCGGGAGAGTATTTGGCTAGAAACCACGCTTTGGTCCGTGACAACTGTGTCTGTTGTGTCAATCACCGCGCTTCCCAGCGCGTTTATCCGGGTCTGTGACGACCATACAGGCGGTGGAGGGAGCGACCATTATGCGGCGGATCTTGTTGGTACCTAACCTTCGCTTTTAGAATGATAATCACCACCTACTAGCGCAGAGAGCTTGTTGACTTATCATTTTGCAATCCGCAAGTATTGCGACTCTACCTACGCCGGCTCCGATGTCCACCCCTCCCCCCCCCCCCCCCCCCCCCCGAGGCCCCCCTTCCCCTACCGTCGTGGTGTGCCGCCCGGGTTTCCGCCGTCTTCCACGTCGCTGCGCAGTGCTTCTCCCTGCACGATTTGCATACAGAGCAAGATGGGGGCGGGGGCCGTAGTTACATCGATGCTCTGCGTCTCACTAGGCCGTCCGCCACTATTCGAGAGAAGGGGAGATACCAAGACAAAGGGATATGCTATTTTTCGGATGTTGCTCTCTCGATAATGAAGAGCAATCTCTCCAGATCATATGATCATCAATTGCGGCGGCAGACATCCATAGATCCCCTCCTTCCCCCGGTTTCCTCTAACCCAAAGATGCCTCAAGCGGTCCATCAATAAGTCCGGCGAGATTTGCCCTCATTTCAGCAGCATCCCCCTCGACGGTCACTCGTCGTCCGCCGCCGGCGTGGGTCGGCGGGGGGGGCGGGGGCGGGTGATATCGTTCATCGCTCATCAATTTGCCCTCCTTTCGGCACCCGAGATTACCCTCGCACGAGCTCATCTCGGCACACGGGACCCCCCCGCCCCCAGACTAGATAGAAATGGACGCTTGCCTGGTGGGGGGGTGTCGCGCCCGGAGTTTGCTACCCACGGCGGCTTCGGCGCTGGTGTGGTTTGGCACGCTCTCTGGAACGCCTTTGATACATGCTTTGAGAAACCATGGTGAACCCGATGCCCGGTCCCGTCGGTGCCTCGCTATGCGGGCCTGCCGACAGTCCCCGTTAAAGGCTACAGAAAAGGGGGGAGGGGGGGGGGGGGGGGGGGGGGGGGGGTTTCCTGAGAGGTAATATGTCGGGTGATGTATGCGGATTGCTCGCGATTTACAAGATAGAGTATACCTCTTGTTCAACCCATGCATACATACACACATATGCGCCTTCACCCAACCGTGCTGCCATAAGATCACTCGCGACAGCTACTTACAACCCGTCCCCGTCTTGCGCACCCCGTACCGTTGCCCTTCCACACGCACACCCCCTTCCCGCTGGCCTTCCAGGAGAACCGACCTCTTTCCTATACAGATGAGCAGCGCCTGTCGTCTACGTCCGCTGCGCAAACGGCGGAACAACCCCCACCAGCACCGGCGTCACGTCGGCGGCAGGCGAGGGCTCGGCCGTCGAGAGCGAGATTATAGGCAAGAGAGCAAAGTAGGGCTAGTAATGCGGCTCGCCGCCTCCCCATGGCAGAAGCGGCGCATGAGAAAGAGAGGGAGAGAAGGATAGAGAGAGGAGGGGGGGGGGGGGGGGTGGAAGGGGCATGACTGGCCATGGCGACTATGCGAGCCGGAGACGTTCTTCCCCTTCGCATACTAGTATCCTGTCCCGAGAAAACTGCGTGCCATACATCAAACAGGACAAGCATAAAGACACCTCATCGCTCTCGTCGACCATGCATCGGTTTACTTAGTCTACCGCCCCAGGTAGGCAGCGACGGGGCGGCGACTCCAGAGCAAGAAAGGGGGGCTGCGGACTAAAAACAAAGACAAACAGAACCTGCCTCTGCGTCAGAATCCAAGTATACACCAGGAACCGCCGCCCCCCACCCCCCGTCACTCGTCGAGTTGCGCTTCTGGTCAACTTCAACTTGCAGCAACTTCGCCTCGTCAGACGGCCGCCTCATCCACCCACACCCACCCATTCACCACCGCCTGGACCGTGATAAAAGTAGGAGGGAGTCGGGTTCGAGACGTTCCGCTAGATCATCGTCAACCGGGGGGGGTTAGGTTACCTGCGGAGCACTCGCCCTGTCCATGAGGCTACACACCCGGGGGGGGCTGTCCGCCTATCCGGACACCTCGAGGGAAGACGCGGAGACGTATCCGTCTGTTTCCCCTTCGTCTCTCCTTGCTCGCGGGGCGGCATGAGCTCGCTTCCTCGTGCCTTTGACGAAACAAATCGATAGAACAGGATTGTGACAGCCACGTGATCGCTCTCCATCACGACCTCTCATGACCTCCTAGGGGTAGGTAGATGGTCGTCCAAGCGAGAGCTCGGGATGATGCAGTGGGCATGCTCCGCCTCTGCCGTCGAGGCCCAAGACAGGAGCTTGCCGAACACGGACTTCACTGGGTTCACCTCGAACATCACTTGCAAGTTCCCGAGGCAGTTCCCTGCTCGTCTCCGCCCTTTGGCCGGCCAAGAAGTCGAGACTGCTGTCACCAGAACTAAACAGAAGAACACTTTGGCACGTCGAAACCGGCGGCCTCCTCGCCCTCTTTAGGGCGAGGATATGGGATCATTTCTTCAGTGTGGTGTTTGTACAATGGTACAGGGAATGCCAGTAGCGACCGTACCCCGTCTCCTCAATCCCTCCCCACCCGACATCTCCACTGCGGTCCCCTTCAATGAAATCGTACACCTCTGTCCCAAGATAATACCAATGGTTGGAAGTCCTCACTTCGAGCCACTTCCCATAGCACATGGTAGAATGAAATTGTAAACGATGGACTTCCTTTTTTTCACAACGCCTGTGCTTGCTTCCCCCTTCGCTAGTTCAATGATTCCGAATTCAACATGAATGGTTGAGCATATTATGTGTACAAAAGGCGGTGGCACAGCGACCGCATCACGAGAAAACCCCGGGTTGTGCGGAATACCGCGCTCAGTCATCGATGGCATTCTCGTCAGCTGGTTTGGCAGCCTTGACGTTGCCTCGGGCCTTTTCCTGACTCTCGACGAATCGGTCCCAATGGCTAGGGTCCAAAGCCCGCAACCCTTCACGAACTTGATCCCGGTCCTCGTTGAAGACGCGCATGATGCCCTTCTCCTCGACCTTACGGGTCAGTTCGGGGTCGTCGACCTCTTCGATCATTTGGTGGAGCATAGCCATGTGTTTCGGGTCGAGGCCAACCTCAAGCACGCCGCTGAGCAGTCCGTAGTACTCCGGCTTGATGATACCCGAACGGATCTTGTGGCCAGCCCTGTGTATTCTGCCCTCCTCCTCGGCAAGTGCCTTTGATGTGTTGGACAAGACAGAGTTGGTGCGCTGCAAGCCCGGACGGACCGAGATGCCAGTCTCGTCTTCGGCGTCGGACGGAATACTCTGTTGGTCCGGGTCCTCGGTTGACGACAATGAGGTTCCAAGCTGGTCGCTCTGACTAGGAAGCGTGGTCTCGGATGCCTCGTCGGTAGAGACACGCGTGTCAGGGAACTCGTCCTCGAAGCGCTTGATGATATTGGCCAGCGTTGCATCGAGGAACATCAACTTGCGTAGGTTTTGCTCATCCTCGTCAGGGTTGACCCGAGCCTTGGACAACGCGGGTTGCAACCGCAGACGAATCTTGCGCGCGCTGGCAAGCAGATGCTTCGACATATCCTTGGCCTTCCCTGGAGGGAGCTTCGGCCTCGGGCCTATAGGCACCGAGACGCCGTCCTCAAAGTCTCTGATAAACTCGCCAGACTGCCTCCTGGATTCGTCGCCTCTGTTCTTGAGACAGCACGTAAGAGCCTTGACAACGCCGGTGCCGCCAATAACGTAGTCGTCATCGGGGGCGGACTCGTTGTCCGAGTCATCTCTGAGGACGTCGTGGCCGACAAGGTGGGCGAGGACATCGGGGTAAGGTGGGATGGGTCCGCCTGGTAATGAATCCTGGGACTCTGCCAGGACTGTCGAAATGACAGAGCTCATGTCGCCGATTGGAAAGCGTTCCATGTTGCGCAAGCAGTACGCCACCACCTGCTTAGCCAAGGCTTTGACGACCTCACCAGAGTTGTCGCTGGGGACATCGATGTCGACGCAGACAATGGTCTTGGACACACGCGTGGCCGCCAGGAAAGATGCGTACAAGGCGCAAGCCTCTTCCTGTGCTTCTTCCGTCTTGGCGTCTGCAAGCTTGACCAGCTCGGGGTTCTCGAGGAAGCTGATATGTGCGAGCATCTTAGCTTCGGGAAGGATCTCGGCGAGTGCAATCGCTTGTTCCGAAGTCATGGCAACGTCGGCCAGGTGGACACGCCGCAAGCCTTCCATCTTGGGCAAATACCTTGAGACCGTTAGCTTCGAAGCACTTACCATCTAATGAATTGGGGCTACTAACTTGCGTAACAGACCGATGGCGCTGGGTTCTGACTTGCACAGATCCCGGTTGTGAGAAAGGTCAACGAAGCGGAAATCTTCGAGTTGCGCAAGCGCCGGCAAGATCTTGCAGAGAGACCCGGGCTTCAGGTTGCACTCGGCCAGGCTGAGCGCCCACAAAGAGTCCTTTGCCGAAATTGCACTGGCGATGATGTCCATGTGGTCCCGAATGTCATTGCCGCCCAGGTCGAGGCCTTCGCATCCACTTTGTGAGAGATACCTCGCAACATGGTGAAGGCCCTTCTCGTCAATATTGTTGTGGGCAAGACCCAGTCGCTTGACGCCGCACTGGATGATGCCGTCAATTATTACGCCAAGGTCGTCGGAGCTCAGATTGGTCTCGCCGAGGTTAAGCAGTTCCAATGTTGAGCCTCCTAACCGCTCCCCAATGGCCTTGGAGAACAACACCGCGTTGGCGTTTTGGGGGTGGGCCTCGTTTGAAGAATGCCGTAGCAAGCCATGGCCGTGCCCATTCTGCGCCGGCTGGGAAGGGCGAGGGAAAGATACCGTAGAAAGGTCGAGAAATTTGAGCGTGCGGCAGAGGTAGATGAAGAGGCAGATGTGCCTCCAGCCCTCGGGCCCGATCTTGTTGTTTTTGAGAACGAGGCGTTCGACAAACCCGCCCTGCGTGGCGAGGCCATCGGGTTGCATGTGTTTGCGTCGTCTTGACTCGGGCCTCTTGGTGGCCAGAAGACCGGCAAGTATGACCCTCAGCCCCTCATCTGTGAGACCGCAGTTCTCCAGGATAACCTCTTTGACGGGAACGACAGCGAGATAATCGCCTAGGGTCACCAGGTCGGGCAGCTGCATCCAGTAGCCTGTCAAATCCAGTTTCTGGACCATGCCGATATCGGAGGAGCAGTTAGACGTGCTGCTCAGTTGCTCGGTAATCTTCTTCAGGATGGGCGTTTCCCTCAGCTGGCAACACCGGCGGTATATCCTCACCGGGTTAGTGGTGGGAGATGCCGTTGTCTTTGGTGCTGCGGCCGGGATGCCTTCGCTGGAAGAGTCGCTGTCGTCCACGTGGATTTCCATGGGAATCGTACCGTTGGCCTCGGCTTGTTTCCTCTTCTTCTCTTTCCTCGCTTTCCTCTCTTCTTCGCTCTTTTTCTTCTTCTCCTTCTTCTTACTGTCCTTGTCCTTGTCGACGGAGACGCTCGCATCCTTTGCGCCGCCCTCCTTCTTTGCGTTGTCGGGGCCCATTCCCTCGGTTTCGGGTTCCTTTGGCACAGACTCCCCGGTCGCGTGGATGACACCATCACGCTCCTTCTGTTCTTCGAGACACTTGGGGTTCTTGAGCGCCTCGCCCTCTCCCTTTTCCGTCATCTTTTTCGTTTTTGGCTTGTCGAGTGGCTTCTTGGTGAGCGCGTCCGAGTCGACGTACTTTGGCATTGGCGCGATTTCGACATCGACGCTGAATGCGACCCTTCGCAGTTTCGCATGGTGTAGTTCCGTGATCGGACAGCGCTCGCGGTTGCGGTCGACGTTCAAGACCTTTCTCTCTACCAGGCCATGAGTTCCTCTTGTGCCTTGTCCCAGAACCCCGCCGGACGAGGACAGTCGGCGGAAGACCCCAAGAAAGCCGGCCTGGCCACGGCCGGGAGGCGCGGGTATATAGGGCTGATCGCCATCATTTTTGACGGCGTGGGGAAGCACGGCGTTTTTGGCAGGAGTCACCTTGGGGGGAACGGGATCCAAGTCCTTTGGCGGCGTGCCCTGGGGCTGCTGAATCGCTTGGGCGTTATTAGTATTGTTGTTGTTATTATTGTTGTTGTTGCCATTGTTGGGCGAAGAAGAGAACTTTGACGAGATGTTGGTGAACCACGAGTTGCGACGTGACGGGGGAGTGCCGTTGGGGCCCGTTTTCTCGTTGGAGGGACGCCTTCCCAAAAGCGGCCGCGGGATGTGAACGGGGCTTGCTTCTTCCACGATTGCCTTTCCATTCTCTGTTACGGCATCGGCGTTGCCATTTGCGTTGCTATTCACGGCGGGCTGGGCGGCGGTCGGGGAGGCTGCCGGCGGTAACTCTCTCGGGGCGGACGTCGAGGAACGTCGTGTGGGAATCGCTTTCGGTGGCCTGTCTGTTGTGCGCATTTTGTATTAGTGGGGAGGGGGCGCGTGAATACTGGAGATAGACACAACAGGATGGACGAAGAAGAGGGAGGAGGGAAAGCGGGAGAGAAACGGTGGTTTCTTGGATATATCCACAGGTAAGGAGGAGGCCCAAAGATGCGGGCTCCCGGTGGCAAGCGCTCATAGAGGTAAACTAGGTTGATTTGCCAGCTGCTTATCTGGGCCGGCTTGGCTTGGGGGTGCGGGTGCGGGTGCAGTGCGACTGACAGCCGGGCGACTGGGGTGGTGGTGTACCGGGGCAGCCGACTAGCTGGCCTGGAAAATGAGGTCAGATGGGGACGTGTTTTGCGTACCTTTGGGAGAGCCGCCGTGGGTCATCCAGCTAACATCTACTCCATGAACTTGCTCCATAATGGGTATCGCAGCGATACTGGCGAAGAGTGTCCGTAGAATGACGGAATACCAAACGCTATGGGCCGCGATTGGCCAAGGATTCGGAAAGTCGCCCGGCCGAGTGAGAGGTGCGAGGTAGTAGAGATGTACGGGGAATCGACAAACGAAGAAGAGCTTGGCAGAGGAGAAGGAGGAGGATGACGAAGAGGAGTGGTAGTGGTGATTGCTGAGCTTCCTGGCGCAAAGGAAGGGAATGGAACTGTTGCACGCCCAGACCTGGCTGAAGGGCGACTTTTGGCTTGATTTCTAAGGAGGACGGCGGGAGGTGGAGGGTACTATTGCTTAGTATGCCGTCGCCCCAGTCTCTCTCTGTGTCTCTCTTTGTCTTGGGACACCACCTCTGGTTCCGTTCGGAACATTGACTGGACCGCTGACAAGCAGTCGACAGCTTATCCGGGCCGTTGGGTGAGATGAGGTACCTAGGTAGGCTTGGAAGGAAGAGGATTAGGAGGAGGAGGAAGGTGAGGAGGAGGAGGAGGAGGAGAAGCTGCTGCTGGTGGTGGTGGTGGTGGTGGTGGTGGTGAACGGGGTGGGTGGGTGGTACAGATCAAGTAGATACGAGGATTGGGATACCTCTGTCTGTATGTCTTTCTGTCTCTCTCAGCTCAGGGTTCGATCCGGACGGGCGAAAGGGGGGGGGGGGGGGGGGAAGAGCTGGTATTTCGTAGCCCAAGTGATAGGCCCAAGCAGGGAACTGAGGAGGGCGCGGGCGACAGACAGCGGCGTCCGTACCTTGCCGCAAGTACTATGTAAGGAAAGACCGGACGTGGCAGCTCTAGCGGGGCTCATTAACCTTTTTAGAGGGGAGGCATCTCGTCATTGGTAGGAGATGAGCGACGCCATGGCCCGATTTGGAGACTGACTGACTGGAGGAGCAGGCTTAGGCTGTGGTGAGTGTCGATAGACGAGGAGTTGCTGATATACATCATGCCTTGCCATGCCATGCCATGCCATGCCATGCCGTGGCCATGCTTTCTGTCATTCCTCCCCGGCCGTTCAATATCTCTACCAATGCACATTCCACAGTTTGTCTGCATCTTCCTTCCACGCTGTCGCTCAATTACACACAGGACCCCGGTAATAATCGCCTTACTGACGCTTTTACGTACCTACCTGGCTAAGTACGTGGGTACCTACGGATAGGTAGTTCAGATATCCTGGGCCGATTGAAGGGCCCCGTGTCGAATGCCATCAGACGGGCGGGCAACTCACGCCACCGTGTTAGCCCGCCCGCGGCCTTATTACATGCAACAATAGGAGTAGGTAGTGGCAGCTGCATCGGCTTCGGTAACATCGGGCGTCTTTCCTTTCCATCGACCCCGTCTCGTCCTCCTCCGAGTCCCGCTTGCTCCAAGCTACCACGTCAACCACTGAGCGAGCAGTAAACAAGCTTCTCGGAGGCGACGGCTTCTAAACTATGATATCGGCCCGCGCCTTGGGACGAGTCGCGGTGCGCTGAGATGAGAAGAATTGTGAAGGCTTGCCCGAACAAGTCTCCCCGTCAACGCGGTGCGCATGTCCGTACCGCCTCACCGCACGAACGCGGCACGCAGCAGAATCTGACACTCGCCCGGTGCAGAGACCCAAAGCGCATTGAGGTAATACTGCGTAGTGTACGGATACAATGACTGAATGTACCCATGTACAAGTAGGGGACTTCCGCTGCCCCACCGTCCTGCCGCCTTACCGTCAGCAGGTGGCCGGCCAGTATCCAGGATGATTGATTGCTTCGACTCTTCTCCGGTTGGTTGGCACTACCGTGTATCTCTACGGCAGTCATCAACGTCAGGAAAGCACAAGAAGCGTGACCGGCCAGGCACGAGATGATAGAGAGACCGTCTGCTCGCTCTCATGTGTCCATGTCCGCTCGCTCATGTCCTGTTGCCCCTCGACTGTCGACTCTCCTCGAAAGTAGAGAGACTCGCCCGCGCCAGTTCCGGTTCTACATGCATTCTGCAGCATATTCCACTAGGTCCGCACGCTACTGCGAGGTCTCAGGTAGCGCGCCGCGCTGCTCTTATTAATCCCGCTTTCTACAGCAGCAAAGTCGCCCACAGAGTTCACGCTTACCTAGGTACCGCCGTCGTGGGAACTTGCCGATGTCCGATTCAAGGGTCCAAAATGCTCTCAACGATTGCATTAACTACTTACCTAGGGAAATTGTCCCGGAAACATAAAAGCCAGACTTATACATACACAACGCCCGGTATCGCCTTGAGGGGGTGGCCTGGTCCCCTGAGTGTCGTGAAATCACGAGGCCCTCATTCCATAGAAGGCGGAGCTGTCTTTGGGGGGGGGTCTCCCCTGCTCGATATCCAGCGGTGACAGACACACATCGCTGCGAAGTCAGTCCGAAGAGAACGGTGGAGCGGAGCTCTCGGTTTTTCTGGGGGTGTTCCCCCCCTCTGTGCTCGCCTTGCAGCAATGCCCCCAGCGTGCCATCCCCTCTCCTTTACCTACTGAGCGAGATGATGTGCTTTCGTTCAGGACCTGGTGCAATGTCCGAGACCGCCCTCCCCTAAGTAGATTCCACCTCCGAACTGAGGCAGGAAGTCGGCGTCCGTCCTCCCTCTCTGTTTTGCCCACGTCGCCATCCAAGATTGTTTGGACGTGATGCCGGACCTCTCTGTCGTGCATGCAGTGGCAGCGGTACCGGGCAGGGGGAAATGGTACAAAGCAAGAACTGCCGCGCTTGTCCACAAAGAATAATAACAAAAAATGGGAAGAAAAAGGAAAGGAAAAGAAAAGAAAACCCTCCCCTCACCTCCCCCCCACTCGGAACTGCCCATTTCGACATCATCATCAGCTCCGTTGGGGCTACCTGTCCCCCCCTCCGCGACCCAGACGGGCCCCATCTCTTTGGTCTCGTCGCTTGCCACACTCGTCTACACTAGCGGCGGTAGTGAGAGAGTCTTGGTGCGATTGTTTGCTCCCCCCACGCGTGGGTCTCGTGCCCTCGCTTTTTCTTTTTTTTTTTTTGCGCCTCAACCATCACAGGTTCCTGCGGGTTAGGTGCACCAAGTACACGCCCCACGCCCAGGGCAGTCAAGACAAGCACGCAATCTATCTTTTTTTTCCTTCCCTCCAGCCGCCAGTTCCCGACGGGGAGGCACAAGTGACAAGGCGCACTGTAACGGCAAAACGTACGACTGATGGCGCCAGCCACCACCGAAACCCGAACCTGGCACACTGTGGCTTCGCTTGTCGGCAGTAACAAATTATACATCATGTTTTGTGTGCGGGTTTGTGTGTTCAACAACTTTTGACGTCTGGCATTTGGGATATCTTATTGAATTGTTTAAAAGAGGTTCCTTTCCCGTGACCATCATAAAATCCCATTTACCGGATCTTTTGCTTTTTTGCCTGATAACTCCCCCGACTGCGAAAAAGTCGGTGCCAAAACGTCAAATGCCTGTCCCAAGTCATACTGTGCCAGAAACCGCCGTGCCGTCCCTTCCGCGTCAGGCATTATAAACCCGCTTCTCCACATACAGGAAACAAAGTTTACTCGGCGCGGAGCTCGGCAATGCGCTCCTTGACGCGCTGCTCCTTCTGCTCCTTGGTGAGGCGCTGGGTCTTGTACTTCTTGGACTCGGCCTTCCACTCCTCCTTGGTCTTGGTGTTGGCACGCTCGGGCTTCTTCCAGGGGTCCTCGCGGATGGCGGCGTGGGCCTCGGAGTAGAGCTCCTCGAGGCCGTCGGCCTCGACGTCGTCGTCGATGTACTGCTGGAACTGGGACTTGTAGCGCTCCTCGTCGTCGTCGGCGAGGGTCTCCATGTACTCAGCGACGTGCTGGCCGAAGATGTAGTTCTTCAGGGTCTCGGCGTCGAGCTCCTTGCTCTCCATGTCGTAACCGGGGAAACGCTTCTCGGAGTGGGGGACGAGGATGCCACCGTCGGAGGCACCCTTCATGGCACCGAAGACACGGGCACCGGTGGAGGTGCGGTGCAGACCGACATCGAGGTTGGCCTTGAAGGGGCGGCGCTCGCCATCGTCGGTCTCGGCAGCCTCGGTGAGGGTGTACTCACCGTCGGCCTCCTCGACACCAGTGAAGGTCTTGTCGAGGCCGAGCTTGGAGAGGGTGCGGCGGGCGATCAGGAGACCGGTGGCGTAGGCGGCAGCCCAGTTGGTGAGGCCGTGGGTGATGCCGTAGGCGGGCAGCTCGTGGGAGTAGGCAGCGCAGAAGACCTTATCACCGGTGATCTCGGAGGTGACAATTTGCATGATGATGTCCCGGTTGGTGAAGCGGACCACAAGACGGTACTTGGGGGCACCGTACTTGTTCTTGGCCTGGGTGATCAGGCGCTTGCGGGCATAGTAGTCGGTCTTGCCCTGACGTCTGCGCTTGTACTTGGTCTGGAAGCGGCTGCGATGCAGTTAGCAAACACTGTCCGGTCGAGTAACTCGAGGCCATCGGGACAGAGTGCGTGGGAGAGACTAACCTGTAGTACGCGCTGTTCTTCACCAACTTGTGGAACGCCTGTCACAAATGGAAATCCCGAGTCAGCAATTTGCGCTTCAGATTTGGCCCATGTGTCCGAAGCATCTTGCATTGACTCCTACGCCCGAGACATTTCTGCCTGCTACTGGGGGCCAATTGCCATTGCTGGCAGTGGAGGTGGTCGTTTTTGGGGGGGAATTCGCAATCGTCGCGTTCGGCCATTGAGGCTGTTGCGACAGTTGACGGTGATCATTCAACTTACCATCTTGATGGTATTGGCTGGCGGGCGGTTGGCTCAGCAAATTTGTCGGTGGTTGTCGAAGGGGTTGTCGAAGAGAAAAAATCAAACATCTAACTACGAGATCGCGATAATATTCCTGTGGGTTAACACAGAGCCCTAGAAAGTGGGGACCCGCCTGTCTTCCCTGCGGGAACTGTCACTCCAAGCAGGTCGGTGACGAGTCACGTGGATTCCTGTAGTTGGGCCGAGGACGAACTTGAGCTGACTCATCAAGCGTGCTAAGCCCGGTTCCGCCGGATTTGGGCCGAGGTCCACGGTCTAATTCGCAAAGGTGGGGACGGCCGTTCCTTCCCCAGGTTTCGGCTCCCCGACCACCGCAGCTTCTCCGCTCGCGACGGTGACGCGCTTGAGTCGTGTGATTTCATACAAGTACGCGATGTAGATCTCTCAAACCAAATGCAGTCATTGGAAGAATCAGATAATTTCTTTGTTGATTATGTTCTGCAGGCTGTAGACGACATGGTCCACTCGAAGCAACCCAAGGTGCTATTATTCGATATTGGCGGAGTGTGTGTAAGTGGTTCCCTCTAGAACTTGTTTCTTCTGCCCTTCTCATGGTTACTTCGTGATCCCGGTCACAGGCAACAAAACCTATACCAAGACGAAATGTCAGCCCTGTTCTGACTTTCCAAGGTCGTCTCGCCCTTCCAATCCATCCTAGACTACGAGCTCAGCCTCGGCATCCCTCCAGGATGGGTCAACTACTCCCTCTCCAAGACCAGCCCCACGGGGTTCTGGCACCGCCTTGAGACGGGCTCAATCCCCATGGACAAGGCCTTCTTCGCGGGCTTCAATGCGGACCTCCACGACCAGGGGCGGTGGGAGGCCTTCTACGCCGCCCAGAGGGCCAAGAACCCTGCCCTCCCCGAGCAGGTCCCGCCCCTCCCCGCCATCGACGGGGAGTACCTCTTCAACACCATGATGACAAACTCGATCCCCCCGGACCCGTGGATGTTCCCCGCGCTCAAGAAGCTCAAGGAGAGCGGCCGGTACATCCTCGCGGCGCTGAGCAACACCGTCATCTTCCCCGAGGGCCACAGGCTGTGGAAGAAGGATTTCATGGACGACCCCGTGCGCAGCCTGTTCGACGTCTTCATATCGTCGGCACACGTCGGGCTGCGGAAACCGGACCCGAGGATGTACGAGCTCGCCCTTCGGATGCTCAATGAGTACGCCGCCAAACACGCAAGTTCCGAAAGGGGCCAGGCGCTGGGGTGGGCCGATGGAATCAAGGCGAGCGACATTGTGTTCCTCGACGACATTGGCGAGAACCTCAAGGAGGCGAGGAGGCAGGGCTTCGGGACGATCAAGGTCCACCTGGGGAGGGCGTATGAGGCTGTCGAGGAGCTGGAAAAGATCACGGGGCTGCAGTTGGAGGGCGACCATCCCAAGATCCCGGCGAAGCCCAACTTGAAGGGCAGCGGCAAGGCGAAGCTTTAGACGATTACGCGGACGGTGTTTTCCTGCCACACAAGGGCTATCTACAACCTTCGAGCTACATAGATATACACGGCGTCCACATTCACAATCTTGCCATCGACCGCGTCCCTCTCCCACTCCCCGCGGAACAGTGCCCTCGTCTTCTGCTTCAGCTCATCCGTCGCGAGATTGATGGTCAGCGAGGTCCCCGTGATCCAGTCAAACTGCTCGTCGACCTGGTCCATGCCGTACGTCGTGTCGCCTTGGCCGGACAGCTTGTCCACCAGCTCAATCCTCTCCACGGCGTAGCTCGCTCCCTCCAGGACCCTCGAGAACGAGTTCCTGTCCACGATCCAGGACCGGTTGCTCGGGAACCGCGTGCCCAGCCGCCTCACCGCGCGCTCCAGCAGAAGCCCAATCTTGAGGTTATCCTCGTGGGTGACGTCGACAACCAATCTGCCACCCGGCTTCAGGTACCCGCGCCACGACGTGACGACGGCGTCCGGGTGGTCAAAGAGGACGAACGCGCTGCAGCAGAGGATCGTGTCAAAGGTCTGCCCGTCCAGCTCCTGCAGCGTCTCCAGGCTCGTCACGTCGTGGTTGAGCAGGCGCACGCCCGCGCCGGGCCCGCGGCGCCCTAACTTCTCCCTCGCCTTGGCGAGCATCGCCTCGGTGACGTCGACGCCGACGATCTCGCCCCCGTCGCCCGCCCGCTCGGCGGCGATGAAGACCTCCAGCCCGGTGCCGCAGGCCAGGACGAGGACGCGCTCGCCGGGCCGGATGTCGGCGACGGCCATGAAGCGCTCAGAGTAGCCTGGGTGGAACGAGTCCTCGTAGCGGTCGGCCCGCGTGGTGTACATGCGCTGGGAGGACGCGGCTTGCGTCTCATGGTCGAAGTCCATATTGTGTGGTTGCTTGGTGGTGACGCGCAAAAGGACTTACGCTGGGTGCAATACGTCTTGCGTTTTTATAAGGTCGTCGAGATTTCGGCGTAACGTTGGCGGCCAACTATTGGACTATACATTCAAAAAAGGTCTGATCTCACTCTGACTTTACCCAGCAGCACGCAATCCGACGATCTGCCGCTATCACATGCGCATTTATTTTCATTCGATAAACAAATGCCGACTGTTCCGTCCCTTTGGTGCCTCTCGGCTCACGATGATAGGTTGGGATAAGATGGATTTGAATCATCGTCATAATCGTACGTACAGTATCTATCGCGCAGTATGTTACCCAAAAGAAAGTGGCAAAACAGCATGGTATCGTGAAACCCATTAGCACCTCAACTCCCGAACCACCCTCCCGCAACCGACCCATCTTGGCCGGCGCCATCCTCAAGCGACCCCGCCATCGGCCACCAGTTTCGACCCAGCCTTCTTCGTCTTGCCCTTGGCCAGGACGAACTTATCCCAACACCCGTCGTCGTCGAGGTCCAGCGCATCCAGCCTCGCCGCCCAGTACGCCGTGAGCCGCCCCTCCTGGTCGAACGGCCTGAGGTCCGCCCACGCCGCCCACATCCCCACCACTGCCCGCGCCTTCTCGGCGTCGACCTCGAAGAACTCCTTGTGGTTCGTGGTCTTCCCGTTTTCAGCGCGGCAGCCGGCACACTTCATGTCCCACCGCCGCTCGTTGGCAAGGTGCAGGTGGACGACCTTCTCCAGCTTGATATAGTGCAGAGCCGGGGGGGCGAAGACGACGTCGGGGATGTAGTGGCACTTGGACTGCCACTCCTGCATGCGCCGTTTGCAGTTTTTGGTGTATCCGATCTTGATCATCCGGTCAGTATCGGTCCCCAAGGCTGTTGTATGGGCTTTGGGGAGCTTGTAACCATAGATGTAGCCCGTGCCGACCGCCTTCTCCTCGGGGGCGAGGAGCTTCTCGATAATGGCGATGTTTATTTCTCTAGTGGATAAGGGCCGTTGGTAGTATGGAGTGAAGGTATGGACGGTCGGCTTTTTGACAGGGCTTGGGTAGATGGCTGTTTTGCTAGGCAGGGGGTTGAAGGGGATGCTTTCGAGTCTGGGCTTGTATTCGTCGTCTTCCTCCTTGACGGTCTCGTGCTTTACCACCAAACTGAGAAGCCGCTTTTCCATTACGGGCTTCAAATCGACACCATCAGCAACTGACAGTCGGCCGGTATTCGACGGCTTGGCAACATAGCTCCCTGTTGCCTTCACTGAGACTGTGGCCGTCCTCGATCTCCGTCCCTCGGACTCCGCTTTCGCTTCCCCCTTTCCGCCTTCTTGCTCCCCGTCCCCCTTTAGCTCAAGGAACTCCCGTATGCGCCGTTCCCACTCGGCTGTCTTGTCTGCGGCCTGCTTCTGGTGCCATCTCCTGCACAGCACCAGGGAGGCGAGGCGCTCAAGGTGCCGCGCGGCAGAGGACAGGCTCCCGCTGTCGAGGATGTCGAGAACCACCGACGAGATCCTCTCGCGGGAGTTCTTGCTGATGGGGTTCTTGCAGGTGGGCTTTGTCTTCGAGCGGCCCTGACAGCTCGTGCAGGAGCCGAGGGGGGCCGAGAGGCAGGCCTGGAGGTCGGCGAGGGTTTGGGGCCACTTGGGCTGGATCAAGACAACCATGTTCGACGTTGAGGAACGGATCTGATGAATGTTCTGGTGTAAATGAGAATGATGTGCCTCGGGACCGTCGTATCGCGGTCTGCGCATTCCCTACATATACTGCGGAACGAGGCATCACGGAGGCCTCGACGAGGCATATAGTTTCGGACCGGAGTGGCAGACCACCCTCCATCGCGAATAAGGCTGTGACACTCATACAGCCACTTGGCCAGGTGCAAAGGAGACCGGGGGGGCACACTTCACGTATACGGCCAAGCAAATCGGTGTTGGTCTGAACATGGGCCAACTGGACCAACCAACCAACCGCACCGCACGCATGCTGTGATTGCATCTACTCACACTGGTTCTGCAAAATCCTCTTCCAAAACCTACCCATTCGGATCCATAATACGAGCTTCTTCATCTTTGACAGTGCGTCTATAATCCAGCCCGTGGCCGCCGCCGAAAGGTGTTTGCAGTATGATGTCTGGTCTTTCTAGAACGATGGCACCAACAGCTCCGGATCCAACAGCCCCCCCCCTCATGCATGCATGCTCTTGCAGGAGAGAAACCGGCTGTAACCCGCACACAGCCGAGTCTGCCTGGGATCGTTGGCAGGCGCAGCCACCCAAAACGGCATTCTGCCCCGACATCGAAACACCTTCGGGGCCGCCGCCCCCCTCTCGCCCTCGGGGTTTGAAGGATAACGCAGAATATGGCGAGAAAGAGACCAAGAGGCGCCCCGACTCTGGATGTGCCTTTGCCTTTGGCCCATGGCCGATCGACATGAGCAGAATGCCACGGTGAACACTCCCACGCCGGGTATGGCGATATGCTGCTCAAGACTACCGCTGGCGACGAGCTCGTACGATTCAGCAAGCTGGGCAGGTAATGTAAGCCCCTCCAAGAGGAGGGGGAGCCCGTCCGTATCGACGTCCCGCTTCTTGGATCACGCAATCGTCGGCGACTGCGCCCACGCATCGTACCCTACCCTAACCTGCCCTCGGCGGCTACGAGGGCAAATCGGAGGTGGCGCGGACGTGCGAGGCCCGAATCGGCGCACCATCGCATAACGTCCACCGGGGCGTCTTCTCTGGCTAGCAAAAGTACATATAGTTCATGGCCACGGGAAAAGTAAAAACGAGGAACTGGATAGGGAAAAAAAAGGTGTTCCCTGTGGAGGGAAAGCTCAAGCCAAAAAACGATGATGAAATCAAATAAACGTTCGCTTAAATAACTACAATTTTCCCTCTTTAGCAGTGACAGAACCGACAGCTTTCTCATTATCCATTTTCGACCAACCGTTGGTCAAGAGACACTGCCGGCCTGCATCGAAGGCTATCATGCATACACCCGACAAGCGGTCCCTGCAGCCAGGGTGACCCTCACGAGAGGTCTTGAGTGCCGAGTTATCAGGAAACAACACCCTGCTTCATCGAACGTGGCCTTTTGGGATCTCGACACTGACTGAGGTCGAGGCCGTTCAACATGGAAGGGCCTTGCCATGGCAAACATCTAGGCAAACAATCGTCCAGTCAGTACCACTGGCTAAACAAACCCAACGAGTCATGAAGGGCGGCGTTCACATTTTCAACTGTATCATTAGGGATGAGGGCCATCAGGTCAATCTTTGGGAAAAGTGTTTTGATTATCACCTCCTTATCCTTGGCAACACGGTCCCTGCGGGGATAACAAAGGCCCGCGTGCCAACTCCATTCATCATCAACGTAGCCTCTAGTGCACGTAAAGGACTCTTCCATGATTCTCAACCTCTTCCTCTCCTCCCTTCTCCCGTGTGCAGACAGCCGTATGTCATACTGCCACCGCAGTGTTGCCGACAGAGTGACCGGTCTCTAAAAGGCCACTCCGCAGCCGTAGGGGGAAAGAAAATAACAGATGACAAGAAGAAAAGAAGAAGAGAAAAAAAAGGGGAAAGAAAACAAAGGGAATCACTCTTGTGAAAATTATTCGCTCCTATGTCCAGCCCATTGCCCCTCTTTGCTGGCTTGTCTGGCTCCCCTCAAGCAATCCCAAATACGCCGCCCTTATGCGGAAGTCGTGTCCCTCATACATGACAAAGGTATATATATATAAAGTTCCATGGTACAAGAAAGGAAGCAAGGAAAGGGGAACTGAATTGGTTTACCCCAAGCACGCCTGCAAGGACCTTGCTCCTTTTAAGCACTCTGTGGCGCCCCGGCCGCGCCATCGTTCTCCGATTCAAAAGCCAACTTCCGGGGGTTCGCGCTTTCGAGCTTGGGAAAGTTTGGCTTCTCCATGCCAGAAACTCCGCTGTCGGTCTCGCCAAACGTGATGCCGAGGGAGTCTGCGTTCTTCTTCGCCTCCTCCGCCCTCCTCCTCTGATCCTCTTGAGCCTCTTCTAGGTTCATCAGCGCCGGAGGGCGGTGTCGCATCTGTCTGGCCTTGGCGAGGGAAATGGTCTTTTGCTGATACGTCGTTGTTATCGGCTGGGTATCATCTCGGTCGATGGTGGCCTTCATGAGGGCTGCCATCCACAGTCTTCCTGCCTTGAGGTTTGGAACTGCAAAGTAGTGAACCGTCGGCTTCGTAAAGTTGACGGCACGGGACAGGCCTGCGCGCGGCGGAACAAGTTTGAAGATGAACATGGTGTCGTCCCCCTTCTCCGCCAAGGGATCTGTGTCGCGTGCTGTGGCCGTTCCGGCGCCGGTGAGCTTAGCGTGGAGACCAGTCAGCTGTTCGTTGTCTGCAGGAAGAACGCGGTGGAAGGAGATGTCTATGAGACCCTTCTCCTCCTGGTCATTCTCGGAGTAGTAGTACGATAGCCGGCGGCCCTTGAGCACGAACAGTCGGGGTTTCCAGGTCGTCATCAGGTTAGAGCTCTTCTTTCTCATCCATCCGCTGTAGTCGGCATCCTTGATGGCTTCTGCCGGGCTGATCTTGAGCAGGCCGCGCTGGTAGGCACTGGTCTCTTTCTTGCCCTTCTTCCTGCTGCCCTTGCTCGCTATAGTCGTTGCGGTGCTGGGGCTCTTGGCCGTGTCAGGCGAGTCAAGCTCGAAGCTCGGTCCAGCGGAAGGCGTACTCGACCCGGTCCTAGCAGGCGAGGGCAGAGGTGAGTCCTTGCCGGACAAGTCGACCGGCGAGGCCATCACCTTGTTGCGGTCTCCCGATACCGAATCTGAAATTGCTCGTAGTCCGGTGACCTTGACAGAGGGCTTCACAACAGCGGAAAGCCAGTCAGCATGTATGCCTTGTCGTGATGCCGGCGTTTCCAGCACTGGCGAGGCCCGAGCCCTGGCCTCCAGCTTCGTGACGCTGGGTGCGCCAACGTCCTTGACGGGTGGCACTGGCCGCGCAGACTGAGTGGTGCTTGTCGACGCGGTCCTTCTATGGGGGCTAGGCTGTATGTTGTAGTACTTTTGTGCCGCCGGCGAGGCAACACTGTCGCGGTTCGAATCGACGCTTCCAAGCCTCGAGTGTCTCGAGATAGCAGTGGCGCTGCGTACTCTTTGCTCCTCGGCGTAGCTGTTCTTCCTAGTGTGACTGGCGGTGCTGTCGCGCTTTCTAAGCACGTTGCGGCGTCGGCCGTCGACGTCGGTGCCACTGAAATATCCTCGATCGTTGTCAAGGGCGGAATCCGGGGCGTGTAGGCCGGACTGGTGCATGATGTCTTGGAGCCCGGTAGAAGAAAGGGGCCTCGTTGAGGCGCTGCCAAGGGTCCAGTTTCTGTCAAACGAAGGTTGCTTTTTATGTACGCCATCCGTCTGAGGAAACGTTCCACTCGTAGCCAGTTTCGGTGTCGCTGTGCTGTTCACAGGGCCTCCTGTCAAACGGAAGTCTGTGGAGGACGAATGCCTGCGCGAGTGGTGCAGATCCCTGATGGAAGCAGCCGAAGGCCGTTTCACATGGGACGGCCGGGTCGGGCTGTCAGTGATCGGGGAGACCGGGGAGACGACGGAGGTGTCCAGCCTCGACGTTTGCGAGAAGGAAAGGCGCTTGCTGGAGAACGACATGGCCTTGTCGTCCGAGGGCGTCATCGTCCTTGGCATGTGGCTGGTCAGGGTGCCGGCCCGGCTGCGTGACCGCCTCGCCTCTTCTGAGCCAGCGTCGCTGCCGTACGACTGTGTGTTCCTTCGGGTCGCGATGCCCGGGTGGTTACATTCGTCCTGAAGAGACTTGATCTTCTGCCATGTCTTAAGTCGCCTGCCGACAGAGCCAAGCTCGAAGGCTTTGATGAAGAGGGAGCTCTGGTCCATGCCCAAGAGAACCTCGCCGGTAATCTCTTGGTCTCGGAAGACCTCGCAGTGGGATTTCTCTACACCGACGGTGAAGAGGTATTCGGCAACCTGGTCCGACGACCAGGCCTGCACCTCGGACCGGCTGTGTATATTCTCCTCCTCTTCGTCCGTCTCTTCGCCATGGATATAGGACATGCGGTGATCGAGCTGGGCGCTGTACTCGCTGCCGGAATCGGTAGGGGGGGCTCGCAGTGCACTGTTGCTGGGCATGGAACGCAGATCGGTGATGTGCTCGTCAATCACGTTGAGCGTCTCGCTCAGTACGTAGTCCTGGTTCGTGTTAAGACGGCCCAGGGCGGCTGAAGGCGGGGGATTCGGCGTTGACGGCGCATTCTCGGCCGCGGGGGCTGTCTCCTGCTTGATGTTGTTCAGCGGCAGGGTGACGGGAGCGGGCGATTCGGGTGGCGGCGTAGAAGCGGGTGGAGCGGCGGGAGCAGTAATCTTGTCGTCGGGGGCTGCGGCATCGACCATATTTGTTTGTTTGGACTCATTGGCCACCTCGGGCAGTGTCGCCAGTGGTTTGGAAAAGTTGCTTGTCGGAGCGGTCTTGGGGGCTGGCCTGGTGTAGACTGAAGGACGGATAGTGAGCCTCTTGCCGTCCGTGGAAGTCGCGTAGCGGAGGGACGTACCTTCGGGAAACAGGCCGCTGTTCCCGTTCACCAAGTGCTTGCCCAAAAACCAGCCATCGCCAAATTCATCATCTCGCTCGATCAGCTCAACTCGATCGCCTTTGGTCAGGCTCAATTCGTCGGAGCTGCGAGCGATAAAGTCGTCTGCAGCAAGGGTAAGTCAGCTCAAGGCCTGCGGAGAGGAGGGCGGGTGGTGCGTGTCAAGGGCGGGCGGGGAGAAGCCGCGGTTGCATGATGCGAAAACGGCGAGCGGGACAAGGTCGGCAGGTAGGCCTGTTGGCCTGGATATTGGACTTACGGATGACCAGGAGGATATCACCAACTTCTGGCTTGGGAGAAGCCATGTTGCCGACGATGCCAGGCGCCGCGAGAGATGCGGGTGGCGTTTGCTAGAGAGGGAGAGTTGTGACGGGATCAATACATAGGAGACGAGTTCGCTGGCTGGGCCGCTTGGCCTGGGCGGCTCGACTTTGACTTGGGGTGCGACTCGCAGGGGGTGGGCGAAAGAAGCGCTGTCGAAGCGAAAATTGCAGACAAGCGGCCAGGGATTGAGATAGTTGTACGGCAGCTGGGATCAGGTAGGTAATGCGTGGTGAGCGGATACGAACACCTAAAGTGGTGACTGGTGAGTGAGGACGGGCGAGGGAGTGCCGCGGTGGGAGGGGGGGGGGGGGAGAGGGTGGTGGAGTGGAGGTGGAGGTTGATGTGAATGGGAGATGAATAACGACCAGGGGTAAGGGAATGAAGGAGCAAGCTTCGGCTCTTCTTCGACGATGGGCCGCCCCAAAGATTCTCTCTCCTTTCTTCCAGTGTCCTGGTATTTTTTCCCCCGTCTTTCTTTCGACCTTTGGATGTGTCGAGAACGGAGGGAAAAGCTCGTGGTTGGTGCTCCTTCTGGCCGTGGAATTTTTTTCCTTCTCTTTCCGGGCTTCGCTTGTCTCTGCTCTCTGCCAATAGCGGGTGTGTTGTCGAGCTCGCTGCCAATTAAATGTGGCGAGTGGCTGGATAAGGGTCGTCGTTGCTGGTCTTAGAGGTAGGTAAGTAGTGTAACCATACGGTTGGTAGGTACGGGGCACAAGTACCTAGATAGGTAGGTACCTAGTTGACTTTAGCACCCGTCCGGGAGGCTGGAGTTGATCAGGGCCGGGTTGTGAAGCGTGATTGGGGGATACTGGATTTGGCGTGGAGGACCTCTATTGGTTCACTGCGACGTCGTCGAGGCAGGAAGACGAGGTGAGGCGCATAGACGACGCAATGGCAGTGGAGGGGACGGACGATGCCCACGTCGATGGAAAAAGTGGTCGGTTGTCCGGGAGGTTGAATGGCCTGCTCTCGTTCAGCCGCTGCACCTAGCTAGGTAGGTAAGACGAGGTAAGGCAAGGGACGAACGCAGTACAGCTGCACACACGCACCGCTCTGCAAAGGTGCTGTGTGGCTGCTGCAAGCCTCAAGAGGTCCCGGTTGATGAGTGCGATGCAGCTACACTAGCCGTCGGCCCAAGTCGCCGGTGTGTACGTCTAGGTGTGTGCGTGTGTGTGCTTGATGTGGTAGTGCCGAGGAAATACGCGGACGCCCGTACGGGAGAGGAATTCACAAACGCAATTGGCTTCCCAACTGGTGGCCTTGAGTGCGAAAGGGAGAGAGAAAATGAGTGTCTTGAGTTCACAATACGACGAGGGAGTGCGAGTGAGCGTTTGTTTGTTTCTTCCCTCTTACTCAGGTAACGCAGGGGTTTGTGGATGAGATGATTTGGATGCAAAGAGGCCGGAGAATGATTTGATGGACGGCGGTTTCGTTTGGTTTCGCTAGCTCGAAAACCCCAGGTTGGGACGGAGGAAGGAGCAAACGACGGCCGATGATCAAACCCACTCGCTGACTCGAGGGAGGCATGACCGAAACAAGTCTACGTCGGCATGCGGACGGATGTGTGTTTGTTTCTCGGGAGACCCCAAGACGAATACCTACACTCGAGCCCGCGGTATTGCGAGTTAAGGCGGTGTGCTCGTACCTGGGTATGGAATGGAAGAGGGCCGAGAGAAGGAGGGACGGCGGATGGAGAAGGACTATGCGACGATGGCGAAGCCCGTGATGCGTAACGCAAAGGGACGGCAGCGTCCGTGAACTCGTTCGTTCCTTTTGTTTGGGGGTTTCTAGAGAGGGATCGGATCAAAACCCGGGGTGCACTCCGTGGAGGAATGTGTTTTTTAGTACCTTTTTTTTTAAGAGAGGTTTTTTCTTCTTCTTTTTTCCTATCTACTTGTGTGGAAGCAGTTATGGGCGAGCGTGCGTATGTGTATATTATGTTATATAAGTCCTAGGTAGGTTAAGTGGTTTCTGAGGCGCAAGAGGAAGTAAGGGAGAGGGAAAAGAGATAGATAGGGCTGTGAGAATAAAGAGGTGTCTAGCTTTACGACAAACCCCACACAAAGGCGACGGGAAGAGGCGTCTGAAGCCAGAGAGTTCAGAAACGCGGAAGGAATCATACCTAGTTTGAATCACTAAGGCAGGTACACCGTACCGTTGAGGATGGACGGCAAGCTAAAGTAGACCGGCTTTACCGTAAGGCAAAAACAATGCGTAGGAGAGTACGGATAGAGCGATGCAAAAAAACAAGAGGCTGGACGACGTGTCCGGTCCGATCCAACTGGGCCGGAACATGTCCTAGTTTGGATCCAATAGTAGATGCCCCCGAGGAGACGTGAGATGCACACCTACCTAGGTAGGTTGGTAGGGTTGGTAGGTAGTGAGTGGTAGGCAGTAGTAGTAGGTACGTACATGTTGGGCCCAACACGTGGACGGATTGCCAGTGATGGGAAGGCAGGAAAACGCCACGATGGCGATGGCGATGGCGAATCGAGGAGAGAGACAGACACTGAGTCTAGTCCGGGCTTCAGCCTGTTCGTTTCTGTTTCGTCTCCCCACCTCGTTCTATTCGGCTTCCAGTCAGCGCCCGGCCCCCTCCCCTCCCTCTACACCACCTCCTCCTCCGGTCTTGGATGGGGATGCAGAATACGCAAAGCCAGTTCGACTGGGCCGACGACCTACCGCGGGCGAACACAGCCCGTTTCCTCCGTTGCTAAGACATTCTTGGCTCCAGGCCCTTCCATCGCAGAAACAACCGAACGGACACCCACGGCCATGATCACGCATTTCCCTCAGGTAGGTATACAAAGACAGTTATAGCCTATAGGTATGTTTGTACCCCTGTAGGACAACTCACCGGCTCATCATGTGCCGTTACCACATCCGCCATGCAGACTTCCAAGACTCAGACACACCCACCGGCGGGCCCGGAGCGACAAGGACCCTCCCGCTTGCCTCGTGGGCAACAACGGGGCGGACGAGGAATCGTGACCGATAGAATTGTATTTTGGGCCGGGCCACGATTCGCCACCCCCGGCGCTGTTGCATGGGTTGCGCGGATGGGAGTGTTGCACCTCTAAACTACGCTACGAGATCATGAATACATACTGCGTACAGTCACGTGTAAATAGTCTGGGCTCACCCTACGTTATGTCAGTGAGCACAGACTTTTTACACATGACTGTACACTACGAGCACAGAGTACGAATACCTACTATGTACGGAGTACTGTATCCGTACAGGTGATAAACATTGCACTTGTACACTGTTCTGTCCCCCAGCAAACTCGGCCAATTAATTTCAGCCCATGTCCAGCAGGGCTGATGCTGGTCTTGCACAATGCCCCTAATCTGCTTTGAGTTCCCCCGTCCCTTGCCGGTGGGCGCCTGCTGATCGAATCACGACCAACTGGCGAGATTGACAAGCCAGGGCTGGCCGGGATCCATCCAAACTCACGTGTCGTCGGCCTCATCTTCCATTCTGAGTGATAGGTACCACACCACTGCGTGACTGCGTAGTGTAGAAACCTCCTGGTTGCAGCTTGCGCCTTAGCTTCGAGTCGCGTCACCTATGCTCAGGATGGAATCCAATGTAATGCCTTGTCACACCTGCCCGTGACTAACACCTAACCTAACCATTACTCGAACGTTTTTTCAACTTTATCCTAGGTACTCTGGACATGATGGACACTACTCCCTGGGGAGGAGAAAGGGGCAGTTCGCACAGGTCCTGACGTCCTCGTCCAAGTGCCCGGTTTTGGGCCTACATCTCAGAACATTTTCGGATTTTTTTTTTGGGGGGGGGGGGGGGGGGAGTTCCCCCAAGTCTTGGAATATTTCCCGAATTCTTCCAGACTTGCCCTAAATATTGGAACACGTCAAGAATTCTCTCAGACCCCCTTAAGTCTTGGAACATTGGCGGAATTCTCCCAGGCTTCTTCCAAGCCCCAGACCATTCTCGAGAACATCAGACGTTCCCAAAGAGAAGGTCGAACTTTTCCAGCCATCATGCGACTCGCACTTGTGCGTATCCTCCGGGTTACGCACGCCATTTGCGAAGTAAAAAGGCAAGAAGACGACGGGCGGCGTTTCTACGGCACTGCTGAGATCAATAACACAACCGCTCCGGCCTGCACCTCCGCATTGCCTTGTTGAACGAACGCGATCGATCTTATGGGCAGCTCGATGCCAGCGATTCTTGTATTACTTCACACGTGGATCCCTTGTACGGCAATCATGACGTGTGTGCGTCGTTGACTCGGATCTGACAAGCATCTTGGCCGCAAAACATGGAGCCGCCATATCTATCAATTCGCCTTACATAGACAGGGTCAGCAACTAATTCACGCACTCGCGCGGGGCAGGAAAGAACTGGCACACTCTAAACTCTCACCACACCATGCTGAAGATACAAGCAGTACAGGAACCTAATAGCAATTCATATACCACATGATACATAGATAAAACTATATATTGGAATATACTCTCGCTTGTAATAGTTACCATTCTTTTGATTTCTCTCTGTCTTTTTGTTTTATTTAGTACAGTTGGACTAGTATTCGCCTCTGCGAAAGGATAGTCTAACCTGTGCCAGTTTTTTCCTGCTCCGCGTGCCCGCGCGGCACTAGGTATAGAAATGACCCCACTCTTCCGCCGTCGATCGGAGCTTCCCTGAGTTTGAGACTGCAAACGATTATATCCTCGGCAGCATCTTTGAGAGTCGAAACGTGTGCCGTCCGTTCATCCCACCTAGCGATGAACAATGACCTTTAAAGACTGTCAAAGATGTCTAGAAGGTCACCTAGTGCCGTGGCCTTGACGTTATTGGCCATGACTAGGACTTGGTGCGCTGCTTTACTGTTGACTATCATGACATTGCTACACCATGGTTAGACTGCAGTGCAGTACCCTCTGTATTCCTTGTCGGGCTGAGGAGGAAATTCTCTTGGGCTGGTTATAGAATCTCCACTATAATCTGATTGGCTACATAAACATTAGCTTCGTACCTCCTCCGTACTTCGTCTATTGATAACCTCGTACTTTATTAGTCACCGATAAAAAATATATTTGCGACATCGCTACATTCCTCCCTCTCTAACCCCTCTCTCTTCCGTCAATCAATTCACTTAGTGGACATACAGAACAGATAAAGACTCCATGTCGACATTTGGCCACTACTTTCGCGTGACGACGTGAGTCCTCTCCCTCCACCAAACTGCTAGGAACGCAATAAAACAGCCCACTGACCTCCATCGTCACAGCGCCGGCGAGTCTCACGGCAAGACCGTCTCGTGTATCATCGAGAACTGCCCGCCAGGGCTGTCCCTCGATGAGTCCGACATCCAGCCGCAGCTCAACCGCCGGCGTCCGGGCCAGTCGGCCATCACCACCCCGCGCGACGAGAAGGACCGCGTGACTATAGGATCTGGATGCGAATTTGGGCGCACGTGTGACAACCCTGCAGGAAGTCATATTGTTTGCCATGATGCTAATACCCTAGGGTCGCAGATTGGGCACACCCATACTACTGACCGTGCCTAACGAGGATCAACGCCCTCACGACTATGGCTCGAAGACCATCGACCTCTACCCGCGCCCCTCCCACGCCGACTGGACTTACCTTGAGAAATATGGTACCAAGGCCTCCTCTGGGGGCGGCCGAAGCAGCGCCCGTGAGACTATTGCCCGTGTCGCCGCCGGCGCTGTTGCCGAGAAATGGCTGCGCGAGGCCTACGGCATCGAGATCGTTGCTTTTGTTTCCTCGGTTGGCAACATCAAGCTCTTTGAGGACAGGCTTGTAACCGATAGCGACGATATCGACTCCCTGAGTGGCAACCCTAGGTTCCTCGAGTTTGTTGATACCCTGACCCGCGAGAAGGTCGATGAGTTCCTTCCCGTGCGCTGCCCTGATGCTACCGTCGCGAAGCGTATGGAGGATAAGATTGCCGAGCTCCGTGATCAGCACGACTCTACTGGTGGTACCGTAACCTGTATCATTCGCGGGTGCCCCCCCGGTCTCGGCGAGCCGTGCTTTGATAAGCTTGAGGCTCTCCTTGCCCACGCTATTATGTCTATTCCTGCTACCAAGGGCTTTGAGATTGGCTCTGGCTTCCGCGGCGCCGAGATGCGCGGATCCCGCCACAACGACCCCTTCGTGTCTGCTACCGTCGCCGACGATGCGACGCGGAGCGCTAGCGCTGGCATTCCTCCCTCCCGCCTGCAGACCAAGACAAACCACTCCGGTGGTATCCAGGGCGGCATCTCCAACGGCATGCCCATTTTCTTCCGCGTTGCGTTCAAGCCCCCCGCTACAATCTCCCAGGACCAGACTACTGCTCGCTACGACGCTTCGGGCGAGGGCATCCTGGCCGCCAAGGGCCGTCACGACCCTAATGTTGCTCCTCGTGCGGTTCCCATCGTCGAAGCCATGGCCGCTCTGACGATTGCTGACGCCCTCATGGCTCAGCACGCAAGGCAGATGGGCATGAAGATTGCCGCAGCTGGACGGTAGTACATTTCGGCCATGTAAAGAACAATTGAAGGGCGGCCTCTGGAAGCGTCGGCGCTCACGCAAGAGGATGCGAAGGGTATTTCGTCAGCGACGATGAGAGAATTCGGTCGTGTGAGGAAGACAAAATAGACAGCAGCAGATGGTGAAAAATCAAGCGTCGGCGCCCATTTTAAGGGAATACGGATGCTCGGCTACATCACCTCCATGGGATCATCTTTGGCGCTTAAAAAAAAACAAACAACCGCCATACTTAAACGCGAAGTATTTCTCACTGCAGGATAGCAGGGACTAGCTTCGTGAAAGCCCTCAGTCAAATACATTCCGCAAAAGAATCAGCATTTCTCTAGACTTGATCTTAGCATTGAATTTCCTCTGATAAAGCGAGACATCTTGACGTGGCTTCAACATTCTATCCATTGCCGCTCTCAATCTGCCTCCCTCATTTTAGCGACTTCGAGCTTTTCGTGGTAACGTCTCCTCGCTCTCACTCTGCTGAGCTCAGGCCCAGCGCGCTAGAAACGGATTTGGACAGCAAAATACTCCGTAGTCGGGGTGATGATAGAGGTAGTATAGCGTAGAGTACATCTCCGACATTGCCCATCCGTCCACCCGCGGCCACCGACCGTGGGTACCTAGTTAGAATAAGCAATCCGACAACCGAAGCTACCTACCTACTGGCCTATCCGGAGATTGGCCCAGCTTCCAACGAGTCCACCTCCCATAGCTTCTGATGCAAATGTCGTCGCTGTTACGCGAAGTCACCAAACCCGGGACTTTGGCAAGGGGTGTTTCAGGCAGTCTATACAGTACTTTACGACGGGAAGAGAACCGATTGTGAATAAAAGCAAACCTTTCGGGCATGCGACAAAGCAGAAAACAGAACCGAAGGTAAGCCAAGATCTCTGCGCTATATTGTGTTGGAGCAAGGGGTGCCGGTCAGTCGACGACAGGGGGCGAGGCGGCGGTGAGTGCACGGCTATGTCCCTAAGGGACGGATGAGAAAACGAGGAAACAAACCGAAACCAGATAGATAGATAGATACCTAGATCAATCAACTACACACACACCTCGCCATACCATAACAGGATGGGTTGTCCAGCAACCTCGCTGGGTGCTGTGTAATGTCGGTTGACGCGCATCTGCAAGCCAAGGTTACAGACAGTGGCAAAGCATCCGACAGGATGACTCTCGGATGACTCTTGAATAGCTGTAGGAGAAGCCATGGCTTGACTAGTTATGTAAGTCACGGCCGAGAAGTCAAAACCAACACCGGATAGAGGGTGACTGATAGAAGAATAGTGATGTGGCTACCTAACACGTCTTGCGAACCTTAAGTTGACTGATGAGTTTTGCGGCGGGGGGTTAGGTTTAAGCTATATCTGTTTTCTGCCAAGGGAGAGAGGCAGGGAGGGGGAGAGAGAGAGAGAGAGAGAGAGAGAGAGAGAGAGAGAGAGAGAGAGAGAGAGAGAGAGAGAGAGAGAGAGAGAGAGAGAGAGAGAGCGAGAGAGAGCGAGAGAGAGCGAGAGAGAGAGGCTTCAATATTTGAGCTCACTAGATTCCGGTGTGGCTCAAAGAAACACCTTGCGTCAGCTGATCTCCGACTTCTTTTCCTCAGTGATAACTAAGAAATGATATGTGCTTCAGCGTCTGATACTTCAGAACAAACATGTTATCGTGACTCGTATTCATATTCGTAGAACACCTTCGGGGTCGAGGTAAAGATAAGTAAGTACTAAGTGCTTGTACCGCTACAAATGAATATTAAAGCAGGTGACCTCCTTAAACTTGTATTGGGTATGAAGCAATTTGCGGGAAGTGTTCACTGGATGTTTCCAACGATGCCTACTTCGGCCGGGTATGCCTCTCTCTGCTATTAAGAGAGAGAGCGAGAGAGAGCGAGAGAGAGAGCGAGCGAGAGAGCCATAGACCTGCTTTACCCTTCCTACATGGCCGGACGATCCTCTATCTCGAACCTCGTTGCTAGGCCCCTTTGACGCATTTTTCCAGAGGTCTGTTTGTCATATGTGGTTATCCGAAAGGAGAGTCATCCAGGACTGTCATGTATGTATCCGTAGGTAGCAGACAATCGAGCCAAGCGGCTCCATGCAGCCACTTGCGTCCGTCTTGGGGATGGTGCCCGCTGTGGCTGTTGTATATAGGAATGCAGATGCAACGCCAAACATAAAAACACAATTTAACAAAGACAAATGCAGTCGATACGCCAAACCCAGAAGACATGGCTGTACTCCACCAGAAGATGTCAATCCATGGAAAAATTGGTCCAAGACTCAGAATGGCATGGCGTCCAGGTTCTCAGTCGAGCTAAGTCAGGAATAGACTAACGCCTGTCCTCTCCGGATGCTAGCCGCCAAGGTCCCCCCTACCCCAGCCCAGCGCACGTCCCCTGCCGTGACCGTTTACTTGTCGGGTTCGCCCATTTGCATCCAGTCCTAACAGCATCGCCGAAGATTTTCCAGGCCCGAATGATGGCTTGTCGCGACTATTTGGAACACTGACATTTGTCGAATCTTCTCGACCTTTTTACTGCGCAAACTGCGGCAGCGCCTTCGGTCAGCAGTCGAGCGACGACAACGTCACCGCCACCATCGCCCATCCAATCAAAGCGGCTCCACCTCGCGAGAGTGGCATGAGCATCGCTGTATCGTACATCGTACACCATCTCCCTGAAAACAAAACTCCACGAACCAGCAAGTACCTGTCGCCATCTCCCAGGCCATTCGACCAGCGCCTGCCTCGCCCGCCTTCCCGAAACCGACACCGGCCTGCTGCGTGAACCAGTCTCACTTTCCCCACGAAGCACCCTCGTGATAGCACTGACAGTGCAAGAGGAGGTAGGAAGGAAGAAGGGGTGAACCGTGTTTATCGGTCGCTCCTTCCACCATACACACGCTGGCACTCTGCGACGGTCTCTCCTTCCCGCGGGCCTGCCTACCTTCCACCCTCCTCCCGACTTCCGGTTTCGGTCTCGATACCTGTAGGCCGGACTCATCCTCTCTAAGTAGTCGGGACCTCGTCCTCATGGTGCGTCTTCAACCTTCACACGCACTCTCGCGACACATCACTCCCCATGCTAACAACCATGACCAAACCCAGTCTCGCCCAAGGTTCCGGTTCGTCCCCGCCGCGCCGTCGACGCAAAAGTCGTAAACCACCCAAGAACCCCACCGTGATGCCTCCCGAGGCCCAACACAACGGACCCAGAGGCTGTCCATCAGATGCCCAGGTCGCCGCCTCGAACCAGACACTTAACTTCATGTTGGGCAGCCGACGTCGGCCGTCATGGATGGCGACGACCCAACACTCAAAACCCTCACCCAACGCTCCCCGGCCCGCCACGGCACCCGTATCGAGCAATCACGAGGGGTCCGCGGTCCGCGGTCCCCCGAGGCGACCGCCCTCCAGGCCCCCGAGCCGTACATCAATAAACAGTAACTCGGATACAAAACGTCTGTCGATTGGGGCCCTCGTCACACCACCCGTTTCGCATCCAGTCGACGGCTCACAAAGCAAGCCTGCACCCATACCTGCGTCCGGCCAACAGATACTGTATTTTCCCTACCCTCTTTCGTCTTCTGAGATGCCTCGATCGTTTCCTTCTCCCAAACCGCAACGTCTTTCTCTAACCTCCTCTGGTAGTGACTGCGCAGCTGCTCTTCCTTCTCCAGCTCCGACTGACCAGCCTAGTCCTCCCACAGCCGGCTCCAACCAAGGCTCTCACCGGAATCCAGACTCCTGCGTTCAAAGCCCTGACTTGGGCTACAATCACTCGGTTAATCCATGGAACGCCATCCCGCCTCCGTCTGGTGGAGCGCCTATCGGGGACCAACCTGCGGATGCCTGTCAACGTGGCTCGGGGCTCGTCTCCGAGCCCGCCGTCTCGGGCCTGAACGACACCTCACTCTTGTCGGAAAACAGTCACACCGCATCAAGGTTCATCCCGTTCGGATCTAACCAAGATCCTGCCCGCTGTGAGCCTTCCAACACACCTCAAGACAGGCCCCAAAACCCGGTCTTCGTGAGTCAGTCCGTCGCTCCTCCGTCCATGCCAGCGTCTGCAACCACAGGCGACTCCCAGCGTCAGTCTGGTCAAGCTGTGACGTCGCCTCTGCTGAATGGACAGCTGGCTGTCCCTGACCATCATCCACCACGACCTCCCAGTCAAGGTAATAATGACAGTCTGCAGACAGTCGGACTGCCTGAAGCCAACGCCCATCCGGAGGATAGTCTTCGTCCTAAAGTGATGGCTGAGAATCTCAACGCCTTCATCCGCTCTTTGGGCGGTCTCGACAAGCTTCCAGACGACGGTACCTCTCTGCCTAGGGTCCGACTTCTCAAAGAAGCCATTGAGACGGGTGATTACTTCTATATCATACTGCATCATGTTCTTTGTATATGGTCAACTGATGGGGAAGCTGCGTATCGCCTCCTTGGTCTTGCTCCCGACGTAGCTGGGAATGCACTCAGCATCATACAGAACACGCTCAGAAAGAATGAAAATATGACCCAAGAGCTAGTTCGTTTCTTCGCAAACTTCCCCAACTCGTGGGCCTCCGGTTTGTGGGAAACCGAGGCCTTCAGCAAACACGTCGGCGACGTCTCCATTTTCCTCAACAACCTCCACGAGCAGTGGAACAGAATTCACATTCCAGCCATGAGACCTCGCTCTGGTAGAGGCTACCCCATTCTCGCGGACGAGTTGCGTTATCAGCTCAAGCTTCGTTCGCCGTTACTGGAGAACATCTTCTTCACGGTCATGAGGAGGCACATCGGAGTTCCTGATGGTCCCATCGCGGATCAGATGGCGGCGCTCTTCCGACAAGACGCCGAAAACGACCGCGCCAAGATGTCTGAGCGTGAGCAGAGGATATTTCAGCATTCGTTGATATCCAGGTACAAGCAACTCGTGTACCAGAATGACCAGCTCCAACAGCAGCAGCTGCTGCTGCGGCAACTGCGGCAGCAGAGCAACCCTTCGCCGGCTCCAGGAGCGCAACAGCCCCTGTCGCAGAACGTGGCCATGCCTCGACAACTGAACATGCCGGAGCAAGGGAGGGGGTCTTCCACCAATTTCTCGCCTACACAAACAACGATAGCAAGTCCGACGCAGGTTTCCTTCGTCCCGGGATCTAATATGTACCCTTCTCCGCCCGTCCAGAATCCGCACCAGTACCAAGGTAGCTTTCCGGGCAACATTGCCCAGGTGTCTTCGCAGTTGAGGCTGCGAAGCAACAACCCCAGTCTTATCAACAGTGGAATTCAGCCGCCCATGCAGCAGGGCCCGATGCGGATGCCCCAAATGATGATGGGACAGGTGAACCAGGCTCCTACTCCAGCGGGCTCTCCTCATTACGCCAATGTGCAACTGCCGTATACTGCTAGGTTGCCACCAAGCGTTGGCCAAACATCTCCTGTTCTTCAAGCACCCCTGGGAGGACTTTCGATCTCTATGCCAACTGTTACTTCACCTACGCAGTCTATGACCCCTCAAGTTCTGGGTGTTCGTTCGCCGGGCTTACCCCAGAACTTGCAGCTGCCACAGACTCACTCTTCCAACTCTCAGGTGTTCCAGCGAGCTTCAAACGTAAATCCGGACCCCAGACGTCAGACGGCCCAGCAAGAATATCAGCACCGCCATGTTCAGGCCATTGTACAGAGGCAGGCTGCAAATCTTGCGTCGCCGCAGGCGCAGCAAGTGTCATCCCCGCGGTTACAACAGGCGCATCAGGTGCAGCAGGTATCTCGTCAAGGGCAGTCTCCCACAAATGCCATTGGCCATCCGCGGATGAATCCGAACGCCCAAGGGGCCATTACGGGAGCGGCTCCGGCGGCTGGAAATCACCAGATGTCAAGGCCACCCGCGGCTCGGTCCAGAGTAAGCCGTGACACACCCGGGAGGCTAAGAAGCAGCATATTTCCAGCACCTCACACGCAAATACCTTTAGACCGGCTACCCCATACACCCTGGGAACCAAAAGCACTGGGTATGGCGTTGCACCAGGTCGAAGTTAGAAGCCCCAGACGAGTGCCACGAGATCCCCCTGACGCGACAAAGTCGGGAAGATACTACCAATCTATCAAGAAACTCGCAGTGGGGCCTGTTGCAACGCCAGCCGAGCAAGCACTGCACCGCCTTGTCTTTGTCGTTCCCAAAGAGGATATTGGCAAGCTGTGTTCTCATCGAATCCTAACACGGGACGGCCTTCCCATATCGGAGTACTTTGACGGATCTCTTCGGTACCGTCTTCGTCTTTGTGAACTGCCAGTCGACCCGGGGGATCCGACGAAGATTGCAGAATCCACTTGGGCGGTGGCACAGACGTATTGGCCTGATCACATCAGCATCTTGGTCAATGGCAAAGTCATGACGATCCGTCGAAAACAACACAATGGACAGCACCAACCTGTGGAGCTCACCCCCTTCATTCTCGCCGGTATGAATTCGATATCGGTGGCGATATCACCTCCGTCCCGCCCTCTAAAGCCAAACAGGATGTACTACATGGCAGTCGAAATAATTGAAACTCTGGGTCATGAAAACATCATCGACATGGTGTTACAGCACGGCGTCATTTCGGCTGACGCAACAAGAGAAGCGATCCGAAAGCGCCTGAAACCTGTCACCGAGGATGGAGATGACGAGCTGGCGGTGGTGGACAAGGATCTCAGCATTGATCTGGCCGACCCGTTCAGTGCCACGATGTTCCAGATCCCAGTGCGGGGCGCGAGCTGTACGCACATGGAATGCTTCGATCTCGCCACTTGGTTACAGACACGACCGGCCAAGCCCAAGTGCACCATTCATGCGGCCGGTGACGATTGCCGCCTTTGTAATCGTGGCTTCGGGGCGAGACCGGAGCCGTCGTTGGTGGACAAATGGAAGTGTCCCTTGTGCGACGGAGACGCTCGTCCTTACAGTCTTCGGAAGGATAATTTCATGGCCGAGGTTCGTTCGGTGCTTGAGGAGGAGGGGAAGCTTCATACCAAGACGATATACGTTGGGGCAGATGGAGGGTGGAGAGCCAAGGTCGAGGAGGTGGGTGATGAAGAGGATGAAGAAGCGGAAGATGAGCAGCCGCCTACGAAGCGGGTCAAGACACGAGCGACGCCATCAGAAGTAGCAAACGCTGTGGAAGTTATCGAGTTGGATTGATGAAACGAGGATCAAGGCAGCGGGACAGACGGGGCTGGGCCACGAGGTCGAGGCATGAGGGAGGGCGTTTTGATAACCCCCTCGTTTGGGGGATTGCCCTCTGGTTGAGGGGGCTTGCTTTTGCGTGAGCATTGGGATACCGGAATGATACCATCTGCAACATCTGGGAGTTTTGAGGATATGCCCCTAGGGGACCAGGAACCCTGTAGAAAGACTCTAGGCCTTAGCTTATCAAAGTCAAAGTCGTGGCATTGCACATCTGAGGCATGCACCGAAAGGGAAGTAGGGCCTCGATGTCACGGTCGGTATGACTGACTAGACTACTATTACTTCTACTACTGCTGGGGCATGGCTGGCTTTCGAGACGTTGTGTATACAAAGAATGGCATCAAACAAATGCGCCGGGTTTCTCTGCCATGTGGAGCTGGAGCATTCTCCACGAGGGAGGGAGGGAGATGCGCCTCGAACACCAACCAAACGAATTGTATGTGCGTGATGCCTTCTTCGTCGTCCGAAGTGATGCGAACACGGGCAAAGCTAAACTTTGGGAGCAATGGCTCGCTCGGGCGTCTATTTAAGGTGCGACGGACATCGGGTGTGCCAGCAAGGAGTACCTACCAAGACAGTGAGGGAAGAGAGGAAGGAATAGTGATTGGACCAAACCCCCAATGACATCAAACCTGCCGGGCCAGAGCTTGCTTTCACTTGGACACACGCGTACCACACCACCCACACAACTTTGTGTTTCCTCACCTTATGCTTATGGGAGGGGGGGGAGTTCTTAGGCTTGATATCCTACCTTTTTTTTCTTCTTCTTTTCTTTTCTTTTTAACGTTCAGCTTCGCTGACAAGGTATGATTAGTAGTGGCTTTGCAGCTTGAAAGCCGTCTGAGCTTGCGTACTCCCAGGCTCGGCTCCGCACAGCAGACAAGTCAGCTCGACCAACGAGGCTTGGAAGAGAGGAGAAGGAGACGGGGGAGAGCTCAGCCACGCGTCCACGTCGCCTCTTTGACGACCGACCAAGCCGACATCACGTTCACGTTCGCAGTAAGAAGGAACACGGAGTAGGGAGGCCGGACTCTGGCCCGCCTCGCCGTGACGACAGCCGGCCTTGGCTTTGTTTCTCTTTCCTCCCGCCATCTATATTTTTTTTTTCTCCCCCCCCCCCCCCCCCCCCTCCTCTCTCTATAGCAGTCCCTAGTCATCCGAGCGATCCCCAATTTCGAATTCTCATTCTTCGGTGAATTGAATTGGAAAAAGTTTCTCCTCACTTCTTTCTAGATCTTGGCTACCTGCCCACCTAGCTAGGTACCCGAGGTATTTTACGCTTTACACACAGAATCCACCCCCCACTTTGTCTGCTGCTGCCCCTCCCGTTGCGACTTGAGGCTCTCGCACGGTGCAGTGCCGCTACGCTACGCTAGGTACGCCCGTTCAATTGAGGGTGAAGCTACTGTTTGTGACGTCGATGCGCCTCGGCATCCGACCAACAACCACCTTGAAGACGAGACAGCGAACACATACCTACACGGAGTATTGCCACGCACCATCCGCAGACAGACACATACACCCACGCGCACACACACACACACATACGGATGCACCTACCACACACTACGACCCAACACCCACCGGTTCAAGGACGAACCCCAAAAGGAAAGTGGGCTGAGCGGAAACACGACGGACGCAACCATGTCCATCAGGATAGCGCTCGACAATGCGCCCGAGTTCTTCACCAACCTCGACTCCGTCACCGGCCGCGTCGTGCTGCACCTGAGTCGGCCCGAGCAAGTCGGCGGCATCGTCGTCAAGCTCGAGGGCGAGTCCAAGACGGCCCTCGGCCTGCCCCAGGCCTACGACGACCGCGCTCCGCGACCCGGCGGCGGCCCCGGAAGCATCGCCAGTGAGAATCACAAGATCCTCTACCGCGTCGCTCAGGTCTTCCCCACCTACGATGAGGACCTCGCCGGCGGCAGCTCCAGCTACTCCCAGAGCTACATTCTCCAGGGCGGCCAGCACGAGTTCCCCTTCACCTTCAAGCTGCCCATCAACAACGCCTGCAGTGACCCCGTCGCCATGTCCAAGATCGGAGGTATCGGCGGCTTGGGAGGCTTCGGCGCCGGCATCGGCCCTTTCGGCCTCGGAGGCGCCCGCGTCATGGACGGGAGCAAGCAGCTGTTCCTCCAGCACGTCACCAAAACCCTGCCGCCCTCCTTCACCGGCTTCCCCCGCCAGGCCGAGGTCCGGTACTACATCAAGGTGACCATCCAGCGACCCGGCTTCCTGAAGGAAAACTGGCGTTACCAGATCGGCTTCAAGTTCATGCCTATCGAGCCGCCCCGGCCCCCAGCCACGACGCAGGAGGCCTTTGCCCGACGGCCCTTCACCTTCAAGCCGCGTGCGCAAGGCCTCCAGAAGAAGTCGTCCCTCTTCTCCTCGAGCAAGGACGACGCCGCCGACTCGGCCGCCCTGCCGCCGTCCATCGAGCTGTCGGCGCGCCTCCCGCACCCGCCCATCCTCACCTGCAACCAGCCCATCCCGCTGCGGCTCATCGCCAAGAAGCTTGTCCCCTCGCACGAGCAGGTCTTCCTGACCTCCATCCAGATCGAGCTCGTCGGCAAGACGCTCGTGCGGTGCCACGACCTCTTCAACACCGAGACCAGCAAATGGATCGTCGTCACGCAGACGGGGCTCAGCGTGCCCATCCTCGGCGACCCAACCTCGGAGGACCTCTCGCTCGAGTCCGTCATCCCCGACGACCTGTGGCGGAACATCCCGCTGCCCAACACCGTCGCCCCGTCCTTCGCGGCCTGCAACCTCCAGCGCCACTACGAGCTCGACATCCAGCTGGGGCTGTGCTGGGGCAAGCCGCCCAGCCCACGCGGGTTCCTGAGCTCGTCCAAGGAGAACCCCGCGGCGCAGTCCATCTTCCTGCCGCTGCACTTTTCCAAAGTTCAAATCTACTCGGGCATCGCGCCGCCGCCGCAGCTGCTGGCGGCGCTGCGGGCGCAGGCCAACAGGCCCAGCGCCGCAACGCTCAGCGTGCCGCCGAGGCTGCCCCCGCGGACGGCGCAGTCCACGCCCCTGATGCCGACGCAGCAGTATCGTCCCGGACAGCAGCGGCCACCCGCGGCAGCGGCAGCGGCAGCAGGATCGCAGGCGCCGCAGTATGACCCCCTATACCCGCCTCAGATTGGCACGCCCGGAGCCGCCGTCTTCGACGAGGCGCCGCCAAGCTACGACGAGGCTTTGGCCGCGGGTGCGTCGGGCCCAGAGGAGAGGCCGGCGTACAGCGGTGTGACGAACGAGAATGCCCCCAGTCAGATCCCGGAGAAGAGCTAGACGCGCCAAGGATGGACAAGATATTCTTCAAGTGGGAAGAGGTAGGAGGGGCCCGGAGTGTTCGGGGTCTGGTGTGAAGCGGGGTTCGGAGGAGTTGGCGTGGTTTTTCTTTTTCAAATTTTTATTTTTTTTCATTAGATCAAAGTACTGCATGGGCAAGCGACATGGCATGGGTTTAATGCTGGTATGACTTAATTGACTTGACTGACCTGAGGAGAGAGAGGGAGGGAAGGAAAAGCAACTAGACGACAGGAAGCCGAGGGCGGAGTAAGATGGGCCGGTGGCGGCCTTTTTTGCGTTTTTGTTATATACCATGTTCCAATCCTACGGGACATTGCCTCAACCCATCACCGTCTCCCACCTGTCCGCGACTGTCTGCTCATTCCCATCGAAGAAAGCTATCCGCTGGGCTCGGAAAAGAAGGGGGGGAGGGAGTAGAAGGACTCAAGGCTGGTGAAAGGGGTGGTGGGCACGATCAGCAACGGCTGCCAACGAGGGCCGACGTTTGGTGCCGACCTCCGCCGCCTCCGGCAGCGCCAGCGCCACCACCACCACTTTCTCTGTCTGCAAGGCTGTTCGTCGTTAGCCTCGGGGGGGGGCTTTGCTTCCTCTTCGAGCTTCCAGGCATGATATGGTGCGCCCGAGGAGAGCCTCCGAGTGTTCGAGTACCTCTTTCCCCGCCTAGGCCTAGTGAATGGGCATTACTTTTCCTCCATCACGAACTTATCCGGCTTTTTCTTTCTCTTTTTTTTTCTTCTTTTTGTCGGGGAGTCAGAGAATAAGTGTGTTAAGTATCTAACGCTTTTCGATAAAATGAGTTGGGGTGCACGGAACGACAACCTAGAGCAAATCCGTCGCGCTACCTACAGTCTATACAGTCTATCGGATGACGGGGGAATAGATGTTGGGACGCAAAACCTCGAAAAAGGGGGGGGGATACGCGGTGTCAACAAACGGATCCATGGGGTGTCGTTCGAACCAACAGATCCCACGTTGATCGTCATACGTACAATTACATGAGGCGGCCGACGTTTACCGCTCTTCGACCCACCTCTTGGACTTCTCGCCTCGGCTTCATCCCGTCCTCTCCATGCACAAAGACCTGAACTATATCTCGGTCGATAATATGCCAATGTCTCACCCGGCGGTGACGCCTTAACCCCTCCCCCTGTTCTATGCTCTCGTATACTTACACAAATGTCTAGTCGCGCTTACACCATATCCCCAGCCTTTTTTCAGACGTGATCCCGTCTATCCCACAGACGCATCGTACATCCACCCTGCCAACTGGCCCAACCGCCCCCGCCCCCCTCACAACCCTTCTTTGGCCAACATGTCGGCGATGTCCAGGTAAAACGCAACGGCGTTGAACGTTCGCGTCTGCCCCATCCACACCTTGCGGAGCGTCCACTTGAGCCTGTTGGACCAGTTGATCAGGTCTAGGTGGCTCACATCCAGCAGTGTGCCCTTGTAATCCCCCCACCGGCTGCTGGCCACGCTTACCAACCCGTCGTTGGCCCCCTCGGCCTCCTCGAGGATCCGGTGGCTCTGCCGGAACGGGCTCAGCAGGGGCGGCCGATCCGTACACGCCCCGTAGCTAAAGTAGCGCACCTCGTCGCTGTCAGGCGTGCGCGGGTTGAACTCCTCGGCCATGTACTTCTGCGTCAGCTGCTCGAACGCCTGCGTGCCCAGCCCGGCGCGCTCAATGAGGCCGTACAGGTTCGCGAGCCTGATGGGCCCGCGCCCGTCTAGCAGAAAGTCGGCGAAAGCGCTGCCGCGATGCGGCGTGGCGACGGTGACGAGGCTCATAACCTTGACGTTGGCGGGCTTGAGGTGGGAGATCATGTAGCGCGCGTCGAGGCCGCCCATGGAGTGCGCGACGATGTTGACAGCGCGCCCGCCCGCTTTGGCGGCGATATCGGCGCTCAGCTTGGCGGCACGCTCCTCGATGGAGCCCGACGGTGGCACCGACGTCGTGATGATGTTGGAAGGGCCCGAGAGCGTCCTCAGCGACTCCGAGATGCCGCGCCAGTAGTGGATCGGCGGGACGTACGAGCCCAGGCGAAGCTCGGCGAAGCCCATCAACCCGTGGGCGAGGACGATGGGATGCCTGGGTGTCTCTGTGTAAGTGTCAGTGTGTGTGTGTGTGTGTGTGTGTGGGCCACTCGTATTGGGGCTGGGAGTCACAAAGGGAACGGCAAGATGGGGGAAACGGATCGGACGAGGAAGAGGGGGGTGGTACCATAGTGTTCTCTGACCACGGCAAATTCATCCGATATCTGTTTGCCCAAGTCTCTGAACCTCGGGTCGCCGTCGTGGTGCTTCGACCGCAAGGTCGAGGCGGAAAAGTATCGGCTGCTGCCTGCCAATGCAAGAGGGCGAAGCAAGCGAGGAGACGCGGTTGGCGCACGAATGAGCCCGGGGGATGGCGCGCGAGGGCAGCACCTCGTCAGGCATGCGCTGTTCATGGCATGGGGGGGGAGCGACGACAACGGTGAGGAGTAAAAAGGGCGGGCTGACACCCAACTCAACTCAGGGGTGTGTGTGTATATGTGTTTGTGCGGGCAAAGATTAGTTTTCCAATGTACGGTACTTCCTCTCTCTGTCTTTCTTTGTGTGCCCCTCTTTTCTCCGTGTTGGTCGGCTGTAATGGATAATCAATCAATCCCTGTCGATGGCTTTCTCTCTCCCTCACTTTCTCTGTGGGTGTATGTGTGTGCGTGTGTGTCTCAGCTGGCGAGGTGGCAATAATCTCTTTACCGTCGACAAATGGTGTGTGGACTGGCCATGCGGAAACGAAGGAAGAAACGCGCGCCGGGAGGGACAACAAGATGCGGTTGCCAAGGATGTTTAAGCGCCCGGCTTTTTGACGTCACGCAGAACCGCGGCCGCGAACGGCTTAGCGCGATCGGGGGTCTCCCGGCCGAGGGATCCACTAACCGCGGCGGCCGCTAATGATTAGTGGACGGATGCGTCCCGCCCGCACATCACCGTGCATACGCCAGAGGCTCGTCGTGATCCTCCTCCCCTGCACACCTCGTCGTTGCCGTCCTCCTTCTCCTCCTTCCCCTCCTCCTCCCCATCCTTCTCATTCTGGCCGTGCGATCCGCGTCCAGACGAGATGACAAGGGTGCGGGATGCATGTGCTGCAGAGCCATGCAAGGAGCATCCCGAAAAGTTTGTCAATATCGATCGTGTGTGTCGGCATCAGGTCGTGGCCACAGAGTTCCGCCCCTCCTGCCCCCCCCCGGGGGGTTCCTCTTTCAGCAAAAAACTTTCGGCCGGCCAGTCATCCGACAGCAGGTTCATCTCGTTCTCATCGAGCTATGAGGGCGGCCGCATCGTGCACCCTGCAGTGCCCGCGCACACAGTTTGTTGCACTGTGCCTGTCATGATAAGAGGGGAAATCTCTGGTGTGGCGGCCATCGCGATCCTGTGGTGAACTGCCTGCTCTCGCATCCTCTTTTCCTTTTGCATACGGCCAGTAGCGGCGCTTGATCGACACAAGAGATGACTACCCCGAAGCCGTCAACACAGGACAGGAAGCTCGTAACCGGGCTCTGTCGTTAAAGAAGGTCTGGTCCACGCGGGCGTTAGGTATTGGCCCTTTCGCAAATGATATGGCGTCGTTGGCAGGTCCCCCGCTCCTGGGGCCACTTCCTGATTGCCTCCCCCCAATCCCCAACTTGCTCGAGCCAGTGCCTTGTGCGGCGTAGCAGCTTTGGGTTCAAGGACTGGCTGATAATCAACAAGCTCGACACCCTCCCGCAGCCAAGATGTAGGGCAGATGGGGGGCAGTGGCCGTGGCCTCCATTGGACGAGCACCCCTGCTCGCCGGCCATCATTGACCAACATGGGCTTATTGAATGGCCCTCCAATGTAACCTCCTCATCTGCGCCGTCCGTGGGTAAACAGGCCGCGACCGCCAAATGCTCCAGGACGATTGGCTTATGGTGCCTGCTGAAGAGGGTCCGGATCTGCAAACATTTCGCCTGTTGCACCAACGAACCGTTCCGCCGGGACGACTTCGTCCTTTCACACCCATCGCCTACGCCCGCACCCAAACCCAAGCCTGTTGATCAGTTTGTTTGCCTGCCTGCCTGCCTGCCCTCCTGATGACTTGCTGTCAAGAGCTGACCAGTCGATTCTTCCTTTGCGTCTGGGTCAAAAAGAAAAAGCCACTCAGCCCTACTGGCTGTCTCTCTGCCTCACGGCGATGCCAGCTGTCTTTAAACATCATCATCCGCGTGCGATTAGACTGAGAACAACAGACCTTGTAAGACTCATCCAGTTAGAGGTTGACTGAAGAAAGTTCTTGTTGGTACAACGTCTCTTCCGTGGTGGATGTACCCATAACGGATGGCACCCGCGGAAAGCTGATGGTGTGCCCGTTTGGATCGACCCCGGCCTTGCTCCTGCGTGAACTTGCCATCCCCGTCGGGCCGCTCTTCTCCATTGTCCATCCCCCCCCCACCCGCAAGCATTCTCGTCCTATTCAACAGTAGCTATTGTGCAAACCGGCTTGCTGGGAATTGGAAAATGCTTAACCCATTCCTCGCCGGTCCTCTGCCGCGTGTATATATCCCCAGCGCCCGGCGCGCTTCTCCCTCTCCTGCTTGCTCTTCTGGTGTGCCCAGCCATTCGATGGTGAAGCGACGCGACAGTTATTGTCGCTTGCCAAGCGGAACAAGAGCACAATGACAGGCAACTGCGGAGACCACGCGTGTCCCTACCCGGGGGGCTATACCCACTACTCGCCCTCTGTCATCGGCAGTGCCATCTTTCTGGTGGCCTTTACGTTGCTGGTGCCTTTGTCTCTCTATCAAGGCTTCCGTTTCAAGACCCCCCTATTCGCGTTAACCCTGGCGACTGGTCTTCTTCTGGAGGTCCTGGGCTTTGCGGGAAGGGTGAGGCTTCGAGACAATGGCGCCAGTTCAGCCTCGTTCTTCCTCTGGCTTCTCGGCACCATCTCGGGCCCAACACTGATCGCGGTGGCCATCTGCCAAATCCTGCCTCATATCATCGCCCTGTACGGCCTTGGTATTGGGTTCACGCGGCCGAGGGTCGCAGTCTTGCTCCTCGCCTTCGCCCTTGTTCTTGTTAGTGCGTTGGAAATTGCCGGTGCTGTGTCTACCGTTTTTGGGCTCGGCGGCGTCCAGGTAGGAAGGAGTCCGCCGCTTTACTTTCGAGAACCCTCATCGTTAACCGATTACTGTAGACATCATCCATCCTACTTGCCGCTCTAGGCGTCCAGGTCCTGGCACTGTTGCTCTTTGTGGGTCTGTTTCTCTGGTTCACCCAAAAGATTCCAGACCCGAAGCATGTTGCCATATACCAAGCCCCACGATTCAAGAACTTCATCAAAAGTGAGTTGTCAGACTTCCAACGGTGTCGAGCTTTGACCTAACCACCCCAAACTAGTGATACCAATCATTGCTGTGGCCTTGATCGGACACACCATATACCGTCTCGTCGAGTTTTGGAACGGCCTCGACAGCCCTCTTCAGCGTTCTGAGGCCGCATCCCTAGTCATTGGCGGTGCTTTGCCACTGCTGGCGTCCGCGATGTTGTGCGTATACCATCCTGGTGCCGCATTTGGCCGGGCATGGAACCTGACCTCTCCACGTTTGCGTTCTGCATCGTTCCGGCCACGTCGTCGGTCAGCCCCATCGCCTCTTCAATCGCCCACTGTGCGTTGGGACGAGCACAAGGGGCCGCGTCAGCCGGGATTCACCACCTCGCACTTTCCAGACAAGAAGATGTCGCCTGTCGGTGTTGGTCCAGTCCCGTTAGGACAGTCCACTATGGCAAGCAAGGTCGCCACCAGTCCTGGCGAGAGATCGGTGACTTATCCAAGCCCGATCGCTTCAACACACAGGCTGAGCCCAACCTTCCACAAGACGAAGCAGCAGTCGGCGAACCCGGATCGCCACAGCACCAGATCGAATGTGAAGCCCATGGTCAATAGCGAAGAGTTGTGGTAGACCAATAAGATAGTTGCCAAGGCCGGGATGGAGTTGAATGTGAATGTTGACATGTACACGAGAGCGTACAGCCTCTCCTTTTCGCGGTAGTGTGGCGTTTTTTCAGTTTTTGGGTCGGACATTTGGGTTGGGCTTTTTTTTTGTCTCCTTCGGGCTTCTACGGATGAGCATATTCCGTTCTTGTAGATACCTTGGACAGTCAGAGTTGATCTCAGTTTGGGTTGTTCCCCATGGCTTCTCCTTATCGGGTTGTCAATAGCTTCATAAATTCCGAGCTCCCGTAGCTTTCCTCCACAGGAAGTACGTCAGACCAAAGAGGGCACCACCAATGTGTCCAGCGTGCCCTACTCCGGTTTCTCGGTCGGTACCCAAGCAGTAGGCATCCACGGCGAACATGCCTAGGACGACGACGCGCAGCGGAAGCATCTGGTTCGCTCCAGAGAGGCGAACCTCAAGCGTGGGAAACATGCACGCCAGCGCTGTTCCAAGGCCGGTCAGAACGCCGCTGGCCCCTACAGCGGTTCTTTCCACCATGTTTTTGGCCCCGCGCCGGTGCCTGGCATTGAATATATGGGCATAACTGGCGGCAAGACCGCTGCCCATTGCGAGGAGAATAAATCGTATAGGCGAGATTCCTAGCTGATAAAAGGATTCCCCGTAGGTCTTGTATGTTGACATGTTGACGAAAAGATGCAGTGGTTGAATGTGACTAAGGGCTGAGGTGAAAAGAGTGAGCAGGTGAGGGTCGCTTGGGCTGAGCATGAAATATCGATGCAAGAAGTCGGATAGGCGCCTCCGATTGATCGGGAGCGAAGAGAAAATGGGATGGAGGGCCAGCAGCCATGCGAGATGCACGGCAACGTTCATCAGAGGAATACCGTAGAGGATTGCAGTCCAAAGTACTCCGAGATTGCGAGGTCCAAAATGTGCAGGATATCGAAGACTCGAGAATGATGCCATTGTGAGATCAACCGATATTGGAGGTTAGGCGGCAATGAGCAGAAACTATCGAGAGGCCGGACGGTGGGAAGAATACTGGCATGAATCTGACCCGTGCGTGTTTTTCAAATGTTTCTTGGGTTTGGTCATTCCTCCGCCTAGTTTGTGGAAGGAAGAAAAAAATTGGCATGGAGATGTCGAACAATATAGAATGTCGATGTCAACATCCAAAGTGAAATTGAATCTCATCAGGTCTCCCGGGGCAGTTGATCCGTGCACTTGTCGACCCCTCCAAGACCGTGTCTTACTTGTCAAATCGACACTGTACGTGCAGCAGCATTTACACAAGAAAAGAAACCTACCACATGCACCTTTAGTTCCTGTGGTTCATGCTGGCTCAACATGGAATTTACAAACACGCGTTTCGAACTCGGAGAGGAGCAACTGACTTGGTCTTGACATAACCTCCTACGCTCTCGTAAGCTTCCTATATCTAACCACTAGCATTCTTTCCTTCATTTGCCGTATCTGGCGTGTCGCTGAGATCGACATCGAACATGAGGTCTCTCTGCTGGAGGATTCGTCCTCTGTCCTGTCCCTTCTCCAGATCTACCATCTCGATGCGATCCGCCGGGCTTCCCTTGGGCTGGTTTTCTGAAAGCTCGCTCCGAAAATTGCTCGAGCTGCGCGGCGACCCGTTCACGACACTTTTTTTGTTGGGCGGATTCGCGGAGATGGCCGTATCCGTCCTACTCCTCCAAGTTTTGCTTTGCGGCTGACCTCGCAGCCCCATCATGGACGACGCATGTCTGATCAATGGTTGCAGCGCCGGAAAGCAACCAACCCAAAGTCCGACGTGGACCTCGGCATCAGTCCATATTGCAATATGCAGCATCTTGTATGTTCTGCCTTGGTGTCAGTGGCCCACCCAACTGTCCAGAAAACCCCGAGCAGCGCTCGTCAACGCCAGTAGCACTTACGTGTTATCGCTGAAGTCGGTGGTGAGAATTATGATGAACCGAGCGATACCAGTCGCGACAGCGAATATACCGAGAGAGAAAACGAGCAAGATCTGAATCGCTTTGATGCCCATCTGGCGGTAGCTCGCAACGACCCAGAGCGGGAGGGCCACCAGCATGAAGTCGACGAATATCCAGATGATGGACTGCGAAAGCACCATCAAGCGCTCATCACGTTTGTCTCTACACTGCCTCCAAGAAGCGGCATAGTTGAAGACGTCGCTATATCAATGCGTCAGCAACGAACCCATTTTCGAATGAGAGTTGGCCACTTACGGTATTTGCGAGCATTCTGTCAACATGAAGAAAACCCCAGTCAGGCTCACAGCTACAACGATTGTGCTGAGGCCGTATAAAAGCCATCTGTATACCCCTAGCAGCGCTGATCAGCACAAAACGCGTCTTTGGGTTGGTCAGTTTCGTACTGTTTTTGCTTAGGCGAGGCAGAAACGCTAGGATCGCTAATCGAACTGCTCCTGAGGCGATGAAATGGATGAGCTCCATGATGGTAAGCCTCTGTTGTCGTGTGTCAGCTCTCCGGGCTTTCCGAGTTGAGTAGAGGGACTTGCTCACCATGGTGAATTGAAGGAGCGTCTCTTGAGGTACGTCTTTCATCTGGGCACCCGTGCCGTAGTGGGTTGTATCCATCTCGAGGGCCGAGAGCGTCACACAGAGTGCCTGATCCTTGTGTTAATATGTCTTTGCAGGTTCCCGCGAAAGACACGCTGGCCTACCCAGGCGATGGTTGCAATTAGGTCATCCCATCCTAATGCCTTGACCAAGAACCCCCGCACGGAGAGGCGGAGGAATACCAATACTGTCGACACGATGATCAAGGCCAGATTCAGGTCGAAGATGTGGTGCCCGGCAGAGTCTGGGTGGTACAAAAAGGATCCATTAAAAGCCGTCATGTCGAATTGGTGCAGCTTGCCGTTATACCTGCTGTGCCTCAGATGGTTCGAGAGTGTTGCCAAAACTGGAACCGTAGGGAAGGATCCATGCCGAAGTTATGAATGGCTCTGGGTCGCTGGCAATCAACTCGTACCAGCCACGTGGAACACAGAAACGTACGAACTATGAGCTCATTTGGCACCAGATAGGCACACACCAAGACATTTTGGAAGCAACTCAAAAGCTCGTTAACAATTTCCCCCAAGGACGGATGAACAACAGGAGGCCGACCTAGCCCTCGAAGCCACGGCGAATGGGGTCGATGATATGGTCTAGATAGCTAGAACACCGAAATCGCCGGACGCCACCGACCCACAAAGAAGAGAGGTTCAGCCCCAGACACAGAAGCTTCCTTTGCCGCTGAAAGAGTACAAACGATCAGTTTGATCGACCTTACAGCATATTCCGTAACCATGGAGTTTGGTGTTGGTCTTCGAGGCTTCTCAACGCCGCGTGATTTCCAACCAACTACCACCCGTCACTGTCTTGGTGTCGAATGGGAGTTCGCCCTCCACACGATCTCAAGAGCATAGCTGATATCAGCGTCATGATGGGAGGGAGAGCATCGGGAGCTGTGTTGTTGAGTGAGACCTGCTGTTCTCGGGTGCTGGAGCAGGGTGTTTTCCGACGCCAACAAGGTGGCAGGCGGCTGCCTGTGCGCTTGGACCTCGTAAGAGACGGTACTGGGAACCGATACAGGAAATGCTTGTGGGAAGCTTATTTAGGCCTTGGAAACTATTCGCCGCTTTCGTCGATACACAAGGTCTCGGATAATGGCACCACCTGGGTGATCTCAATGCACAGCCCCATGGCTCATAACGAATACCTAATGCTCACGTTTTCCTTGTCTACTTAGGGCCCAAACAGCTCCTGATGGAACTCTGACGTTCCTTAGGTAGCACGTTTGGAACTTTTCAAGCTATTTACTTCCACCGGAAACGACGGTATTTGCATTTCTCTCCATCCCCGCGTCTACGCTTTGCCTTGCAGGAAAAGGCATCTCCGCCAATCTAACAAGGACGGAACCTGCCGTCACTACACGGACCCCTCTCTGTTTGAGATCTAGAGCGATGAAGATGAACAGCTTGTTTGACGGCACATGTACTGACCAAGTGAATCAATCAGGTAATCAACTGGACCGGCCCAAACAACCATGTTACCCAGCCGCCTTATTGTTTGCGGCATTGTTCCATTGAACTCGCTGGTTATTTTCTTTCGGCTGGCCTGGGCAGCCGTCTTCGACGAATGCGGGCTTCGCTAGTCCATACCAATATATCGTGTCTTGATTCCGCACCCCGCCCTAGCTGCCGACGCCACTAATCTGCCTGCCCGGAGAGGCAAGCGGCTTTGAAAGTTCCCGAATCGAAGCTTCCACTGCATTGCTCAATTCACCACGCGTTATGCGCGTTGAAAGTTAACACGAGCCAATAGGGGTGCGAATAGAAGGGACTCCTCTTCCTTTGTTCGACTGGAGCCGACCTCCAACCAGAGCTCCTGCGTCAACGCTGAAATCCCTCCGTGTCGACTCTTTGTAGATGCGGCAAATAGTACGATGCTGTCATTTTTCCGGATAGGCAATAAGATCAGCATAAGCGGTACCTATTGATCCTCCCTTGGTTCGCAAACTTTGGTCCAGCCCAAAATAAAGCTGCTACGAAAAAAGAAAAGAGAAGGGAATACCCCCGGCGCCACCCGTCACACAGGAAAACCAACCAACACATCGCCGTTTTCGTCAAGACGCATGCACAGCGACACCGAGCTCTGGGGAACACGATTACCAGACGCTAGACGCCAAACGCCAAACACCAAGCCCTGCTCCTCATGAGTTGTCCTCCATCCGACGCCGCTGTCATCACCCGAACCGTAAACGCGCTCCTCCTGCGCACTCTCGCCCTGCTCCAGACGCCCCTATCCGCCCTGACGCTGCACCAGGCCCTGAACGCCGCTGACCAGGCCCTCGCGACGGCGTCACACTTCCACCGCTTCGACCTCGAGCCCCGCGCACACCTCTACCGCGGCCATGTCCTCCGCGCCTGGGGCCGTTGGCGCGCCGCGCACGCCGCCTACGTCCGCGCCGCCAGCGTGAGGGGCCACGGGTTCTCCGGTACGGACATCCGGGGCCTGACGGGGGACTGCCTTGCCATGATCCGGTTCGAGAAAGAGCGGGAGGCTAGGCTGAGACGGGCACACACCGCTGTGAAGGAAGGCAGGAGAGTGTCGAAGGTGGTCCGGTTTTCAGATCAGCAGAGGGTCCCTGTTGTCATCTGCGACGACCGCGACGAAGACGATGAGGGAACGCGGCCCGATTCGAGTTCCAGTGAGATGCATCTCATCCTGGACTGTAATGGGGAGGTCGTCGGCCACCGGGAGAGTCTGCCCGACCTACGGACTGTACGGGGCAGGTCGGTTTGCAGGTCGCCAACGACATGAGCAGGGGTGGGAGGGGGGACGAGATTGTGCTTGAACTTTGTTACGATTATGAACCAGGAGAACAGGGCCCTCGGGAAGAAAAGAGAGAGAACCGAGCCACCTGGCTGGCTGCAAGGAATCCGAATGACAGAATAGAACCGATCTCGTGGGCCGATTATCTGGCACCCCCTGCCCCGGACTTCTTTGTCAACTCAACCCCTGGGAGGGGGGAGGACAAAATGCTCGCAACAATTGTATAGCGATTTGATTGATTTGGGGAAGCATAGACACCGACACCTTTGAGCCTCGCAGGCCCCTTGAATCGCCCTCCCTGCAACGTCGCGGTCCTGAAAGAAGATGTTGCAAGTCACGTCTCGGACCCTAAAGATTGAAAATGGCATCGGGAGCCCAGCATGTCCAAGTATCGTAGAGTGCTCTCTATTCTACCTTTCTCCATTAACGTACTCTCTCTCTCTCTCTCTCCATCCCTAAGCTGTCTGTTCTAAGCCGGCACGATCAAACCCTCTCCATTCCGTATGTATCTTGCAGTGTCCCTGAGAGACCATGCCTGGAAATGATGGAAAGGCAAACCCGGCCAACAGGGAAGAAGTCCGTAATCCCGGCGGCAACGATCAAGACAGTCCCATCACTTTTGATGCCGCCAAACACGGCGCCTCCGCTTCCGGGTCCGAACACACAAATGTGTCAGACCACACTGCCGAGCCCGCCTCGGAGACCGGCGGGAACCAGAGCGGACCCTCGACGACTGATGAAGCGACGGCGCAGGAGAAAGATGCCTCTATGAACGACAGAGACACTACAACTTTGCCACAACAGGCGCGCCCGGATGAAGACGCGGATGCCGGGCCGAGAAGCACCTTGGCTGTTGATATGGAAGACCCTAGGGCTTGGTTCCCCTCAGCTGTGCGGCCTGCGCTACCGGAGCTACCAGACGACACTGTATCATCTTCTCGACTGACCGGGGCGGAACTAGGGGGTTCTCAGAGGGCTGGGTGTTCGAACCCCAAGCTCCACGAAGGAGGACCGCGACCAGAGAAACCAACCGCTTCTTCCCCAGAAGACACCGCTTTCATTCTCGGCGAAGAATATAAGGGCTCGAAAAACGTCTCCGACCTCATCTACGACGCCGTTTCAGAGTCAATCTTCGAGGCCAAGCCGAGGCCCCTTTCATCCGTACCGCACGCCCCCGGTGCCGCGATCGCGGAATCTCAGCCCGACATCACTGCCGCGCGGAGAGGAATGAGTGCCTTCTCGAGGGGTTCCGTAGACAACAAGGCCACCGGCTCCGTGGACGACCGCGGCCTTCTGCCCTCGCTGATGGCGAAGAGGTCGGCCTCACCCCTCTCTGCATCCGGTCACTATAATCCGAGGGAGACGGGCCGGCATGAGGGACGTGAGAGCTCTAGGTGGAATATCTCCGACGGTGAATCGGAGGAGGGAGCCTTCTCCTCGATGCTTGGCGCGGATGTCCCAGCACCCCTGAGAATCCCCGGACGAAGTCAGGCTACCGACAAGACGCAGAAAACCCAGGGAAACCGAGGACTCCCGAGCGAGAATCCTTCGTCGGGCCAGGGCGAAGCCCAGCCAACCGTTATCATGCATGCCCCGATCCCAACCGGGCCGGTACAATTCAGCGTCTGTGGATCACCGGTCCACGCCCCGGAGCCCCTGGCGTCCAACCCGCCCCTATATCAATCCCAAACCTCGTCACGAGGGACCATAACTCCAACTCAAGACCGCTTCCGGGCTTACAAGCTCGAGCCGCCCCGCCACGGGCGCGGTTTTGACCACCGCCGCGCCCGCGCTCCGGACCCTGGCATGCCTGCACGCACTCACCTCTTCGTCACGCCTCAGCCTCTCTCCAGCGCCGAGCACAGGCGCATCATCGAGGCGTACAACGTGGCCTTCGACGCCACCTCCGACGCCACAAAGACCCTCCTCTCGAAGCGGCACCGCTATCCGGGCTACACTCGCGACGTTGCCGCAGAGCGCCGCAGGCTCGAGTTCGAAGCCGTGACGGGGGAGAGCATGAACGACGAAGCCTACTACGCCCTCTTTGACCTCGAGACGTCCAACGACGGCATGCTCTCGGCGCTGCTGGAGTGGATGCAGGGCCGGACGTGGATCAAGGTGCCCTTTGTGAACCGCATCATCCACCAGGTGTGCCGGCTCATGTTCACGTCTGCGCAGGAGGAGGCGCGGCTGAGGCTCCGGTTCCAGCGGGACTGCGACCTGTTTCGTGACGAGGCCGACGGGGCGGACGAGAAAATCACGCTGGAGAGGATGCGGAACTCGTGGGAGCGTATGGACACCGGGGTGAGGGCCCAGCACCTATTCGCGAAGGCCAACGCGAGCGGCTTCCGGGACCCGGACAACGTGGAGCGCAACTGCGATCGCGACGCCGAGCGCTGGAACCCCCTGTCCCACAGGTTCACCTACCTCCTGCATGTCCGGGACGGCATCGAAAACGCCATCAGGAGCCGGGGCGGGGTCTTGGATGAGGACTTGGACCAGCTCGAGCGGATCTATCGCGACATCAAAGACATCCACAAAGAGACCAGCAGATACATGACCATCAGAAAGGAGAAGTCCAAGGACCCGGAGCTGTTCCGCAGCAACAACCGACGGGTGATGGACTTTGCGAAGTTTCTGGACGAGGACGTCAACACCGAAGAGCGCGTACGCGAGGCTACCACGGCCAGGTTCCTGGAGGCCGCCGCCCATCGAATGCGGTTGCGCGGCCGGCACGACTTTGCGATGGCGGAGGATCTCCCCGAGCCGTCAATTCCAGCGACCCTCTCGCCTGAGACGGTCAGCAGTCCGAGGATGGGCACCGTGCCGCCGGGCAGCGCTCAAGCGGGAGGTCTTGGGGACAGCGGCCCTGCGTCGTCTCAATCATTTTACAAGAGCCCCACAAGCTCTGCCGCTGGCCCATCTTCCCCTTCACAGGTTCCTGCTTACCCCCCTGCGGACCCTTATCCTACTCAAGGGAGTCGGGCTGGCGCCGACTCGCGGCCAAACTTCAAAAACCCGTGGGAGGAGGTTCGGCTGAGGCCGAGGGAATCGTGCACCCGTTGCCCGATGCTGGAACGGGAGCTTGAGGCCAAGCAGAACCAAATTGACGAGTGTCGCCGCGAGAAGCAGCTCCAGTCGGATGAGGTGAACAGACTCGAGGGGATTGTCAGAGCCATCAACGACAAGGACATGCAAGCAGCGTTCAAACACATGGACGGCTATCAAGACATGGTCCGCGCAGAGCTGCGCGAAGCTCTGCAGTTCATCGTATCGATGCTGGATGTAGAGGGCCAGCGCGCCCACGACCAGACAAGCATCCTTGAGGCGTCGCTCCGGTCCTGGCAGGCCGGCGGATCGAAAGAAAACGTCGTGACCGAGATCGAGCCGATGGCCCGGTCCGTCAAGCGACTAGCCACCTCGATACGTGACGCTGTGTCACAGATCACCAACCAGCTTGAGAAAGTCGATTCCGAGAAAGAAGTTCGCCTGCAGCTTCTTGAGAAGAACGATAGCCAGAGGCGTTCGCTTGAGCGCCTGAGAAAGGAAAAAGAAGACATGGAAGCGACCGCAACCGAGGCTGCAAAGACCATTCAGCAGCAGATGCAAGAAGAAAGTGACCGGCTCAAAGAACAGATTCGGCAATGCCAGAGCCAGCTCAAAGACCTGAGGAAAAAGCATGAAGAGCGAGACACGGACGATCCGCCGACAGCGGACAGCAGCATACAGGACCTGAAAGACCAACTAAAGAGAAAGGAGGTAGAACTGAGCGAGCTAGAGGCGGAGAACAAGGCCTTGGAAGAGCAGTTGGCAACTACCATGGCGAAAATCGAAGCTCTCAGCGAAGCCAAGGAGCAAAGAGACGAGCAGGTCAAGAATCTGGAGGAGCACCTCAGAGACCTCCAAATCAAGCTCGACGCCAGGGCTGAAACTGCCAAGTGGTCATGGTGGCCTCGCCGACACACCAGTGATTCCAACTTTGAAAACCAGCAAGGCGATAGAATATATCAGCTGCGTATAGAGTTGATCAAGGAGCTTGGCAAGACCGACCTGAAGCCGTATAAGAAAATCAACACAGAGAGGAGAGAGTTGCTGCCGAGCCTGGCACGGAGCGTATTATGGCCCAGGAAACTATCAGCGGCAAAACTGGAGCCTTACGAGGATTCCACGGTCTTTTGGAGACTGGCAGCATTCTCGAGGAGGAGAGGCGAAACGGTAGCAGCACTCGAGCGGAGGGATTTAGCAGAAGCATCCGAGAGGCTCGACAGTCTCCAGGCGTGGAACACGGAGATGGGCTCCTGGAAGACTGAAGCCCAGTCGGTGGAGGTTCTTCGAAGCATCAATTTCCTCCGCTCGTACGCCAACCTAGAGATTAGGAAGACTGAAGGGTTTGGCGCATCTTCGTCGCAGAGGCTCGAAGCCGCCAGGAAGCTCTTCAACCAGACGACCTCCTCGGACGGCACAGGTGGCCAGATGTCCTGGGATTCCTTGAAGGAGTGCCTGGGTTATCGATTGGATAGTCCTGAAGAGAAGCCAGTGTGCGAGTGCGAATACAAGCAACGGATTTGTGCGAAGCACAAGCAGCGTGGCGGAGCAAGGTATCATAACTTCGTGGAGGAGGAGGAGGATGACGATGCGCAAGAGGCCGATATAGAATTGACGCAGGAGGCGTACAACTCACTTCAACGCCATGCCCTGGCTTTGTAAGCGTGTGGGGCGGCGAGATGGTCCAGACGAACCTGCAGTCCGAAATAGAGCACGTAGGGAGGATGATCTGCAAGAGGGGGGCAAATGAGAGCGAATTCCATGTGCTTGTTGTTTGTTTACCCCGTCACTGTCACTGTCGATCTGTAATTCCCGGCGACTTGGTTGCTATCACGGACGGGTCGTCTCCTCGTCGTGGTGTTGAACGCACATTCTGCAACCAGTATTTGCAAGCCGAGAAATGGTCTACTGCGTACATGTGTGTTCCAGTCTTCGGCGGGGCCAAGTAAATCGTAATTTTTTTTTCTCTCTGTCAAACCGGAAAGCGGAGTGCTGATCGAGGCCTCTCCCGGGACGTTGGAATCTGCCAATGACGAAAATGCCCGAAAATAGGTATAGCTGAAATCAATGTCGGTACGATCGATGTACGATGTACTATTAGTAGGTAAGTCAGGAAGTCAAATCAGTGGATAAGGAGGCACGGGCAGTGGAGCCCCTCGGTTAGGAGGAAGTGGGGCGATGCATATCAGGGATATGTACCTGTACGGAGTACTCCGTACGGCGTATCGGCATACTCATCTCGTACTCTGTAGCTAGAGCACCTCTCATTCAACCTCTCTTTCGCGTATGCCAGTACCCACTACGGCAGCCTGCAGGGCGCACTGGTCCAAAAGTCAAAACTTGCCTAATTAGGGTGCGGGTCTGTACTAGGGCTACTACTAGTGTGCAGATAGTAGTAATATTACTTTATAGATAGTAATCTATCTGTATAGTAATTATAAGCCCTATACATAGGATTACTTAAGATAAAACCTATAGGATTTACACACACTTACGTATAGGTCTATACTTATTTATTACATACTATTATAAAATAGTAGTAAGGTGTCTTAAGAAGGATAACCTTAACTATTTTATAGTAAAGCTACTTAATAAATAGCACTTTTACTTATTTTATTCTCTTAATTTAACTATTATTTAAAAACTGTCTATAATTAACCTTACCTTAATTAATAAAAATACCTTTAAACTTCTAAAACCTTTTATAATTATCTAATTATAACTACCTAAAAATAATATAAACCTAGCTAAGTCTATACTATATATCCTAGATATAAAACCTTCTATAAGCTTCTTTATAGTAATTATTAAAGGCTTATAAAAGCATAAAGTAAGTATATAATAGATAAAGAACTAGCTAATTTAAGACCTAACTATCTATATTAATATTAGTCTTTAGGTTACCTTATATTATAAAGTAGATATTAATAGCCTTAGTTTTTACACTTATACTTATATCTAATACCTTAAGAAGTTTAATAAGAAGTTATAGTTCTTATTAACTATAAAGTTTACTTTATATACTAATATAATAAAGTGCCTTATTATAAAGTTTACTTTAGATAAGGCCTTTTTTAGACGTAAGTAAAAAGTAATTCTAATTAATATAAAGAACTTATTAGATATTTTAGAGTTCTATAACGCTATATATAAAGCCCTTAATCTCTAGACGTTTTTTTATAAGACTTTACTTTCTAGTAAAAAAAATAGCTTTATAATTACTCTTATATTAGAGATATAGATTAAGCTGCTTATCTTTATACCTTAAGTTTTAAAAAAGTAATAATTTAAGCACTACTAACTAAAACAGCTTACTACTTTACTATACTAAGAGGTCCTATTTATACCTATATAGCCTTATACTAGCTAGCTATAATCTATATCTTTAAGTAGTATCTAAACTAGAATAAAGTAAAAGCTAACACTTAAGGCTCTAAAGGTAAGCTTATAGGTAAAATTATAAAAGCATACCTACTTAAAGGTAGAGGCAGAAAAAAGTAAGGATTAGGAAGTAAGTATATAAGATACTATTAAAAATAAGGATTAAGTAAAGGATATATAAGATAGTATATAGGTTAGCCTAAAGGATACTTCTTTAAGTAATTTAGAATAATATTATTTACTTTTATTCTATTTATACTCTTTTAGGCCCTTCTATAAAGATTTACTATAAATTAATCCTAAGTATAATAAGTTATACTTTTATCTACTTAACTTTACTACTTTATTTCTTTAATAAAAAAACTTCTAGAGACGCTTTAGAGATAATATAAATCTCTAAGTGCTACTATAAGAAGTTATATACCTTAATATAAGGATATTTTAAACTATAAAATTCTATTATAAGTAGAAAAGTCTCTTTAGAACTAAGAATATCTTTATAGACCTATATTATCTATATAGGTAAGTATAGATTAAGATTTATACTATCTTATTAAAGAACTATAAGAATTTCTTATACTTTTAAGAGATTAACTAATTATATAAAATTAATTATAGAAGTTAGATTAGGCTAGTAAAAAAGTAACTAGGGCTAACTATAGACACTATAAGGCTAATTCTTTTATATCTAAATATAATAGTTATTCTAGAGGTATATAAAGTTAGAAAAGTCTTTATAAAGAAGTAGTATATAAATAAAAAGTAAGGTAATCTAATTAGAAAAAGAATTTAGGGAAAAAAGGTATAAAGACTATAGTTAATAAAAGAATACCTATATAAAGTGTTAGTATTTAGATATTAGTATATAGAGGGGGTAGTATTTACCTTTTATTATATAGATTAGGCCTAATATAATTAATTCTACTAACTTTTAATCTTAACGTTATAAATACTTTTACTAAATACCTAATAATTATAAAAGGTTATAGGAATATTAATATTTAGTTAAGATAGTATATGTTTTATACGCTTTTATAAAAAATACTAATACCCTCTTATAGTAAAAGTAACTTCTATACTATAGTCTAAATAAATAGTAAAAGGTATATACTTCTGCTTAAGGATAATAGATAAGTACTAAGTAAGTATAGATTAGGCTATATATATAGAGAATCCTATATAAAACTATATAATATATTAGGAGTATATATTAATAGTAGTATATATCTTAAACCTAAATAGAAGAAGCTTATTATAAGTATTAATTAACTAGATAAAGTTAGGCCTTAGCGTAGTCTAACCTTTCTATTAATATTAAAGCTCTTTTAAATGTTTCTATATATTTCTAAGAAAAACTTAACAATAGGCTTTATAAAAGACGTCTTAGCTAATAATATAGCTACGTTAGCGTATAAAGGTGTAAAGAAACTTATAGCTAAAATCTTAGACTATATTTACTATACTATCTACTAATAAAAGGTATTTAACTACACTATAATATACTACTTAGAGCTATTTAGGTGTTTAATAGCGCTATAGTAAATAGTATTTTTAGATATCTTTAAGGTTATATTATAAAATACTAAACCCCTTTATATATAAGGCAGTAAGAATATTTAGGTTAAAAAGTTAGTAGTTAAAAAAGAGCTTAAAAATACGTTAAAGTAAAAGGACTAAAAATTATATACAGACTTTATAGTAATAGTTAATTAAAAGTAGGAATTATTTAAATATTATAAGAGAAACTTAAAGCTAGTAATTTTCTATAAGATATATAATAATTAAAGCGTAAGTCTAGCTAGTAGCTAACTTTTCTTAAATAAGTATAAAATACTATATAAGATTATATACTAGGTAACTAGTTTATAGCATTTTAGGTAAAAAAAAAGAGAAATAGTTAATAATATATAGGTAGTTATAAGAGTATATAAGGGAAAAAGTATATATATAGAACTATAAAATTAGGTATCTAAAAGCATAGAAACGTAAAGGCCTAGGCAGTTCTAAAACTAGTATATAGATATATATATAGGTGCCTAGGCCTATAAAAAACTAACCTTATTTACTAAACTTTACGCTTTCCTATAAAAAACCGGCTAGGCATATACCGTCTTGCCTATATAAGTACCCTCCTATAACGCCTTATAAAACCCTATACTAATATATATCCTTTTACTAGGATCTATAAAAGATCTTAATCCCCTATTATCCTCTTAACTTTTCTATAAAGTTCTATAAAGTTAGTATTAAATTAGCTAGGATGTGTCTAGACGTATATAAGTACGTATAGATTAAGGTAACTAATTGTTAGCACAACAGGTAAGCTAGTCTCTTAGATAGAGAATTCTAGCTTAGGAGAATATAAGAGAGTATATCTCTTATATAAAGATATATCCTATAGAAGCAAGAATATAGGATAAAAAGGAGATATAAATGCTTATACCTAGGGTAAATAAATAGAGGATATAAGGATATATAGTTAAAAGAGAGTATAGTAGTTAGATTATTAACTATTTGCTTGCTTAGAGAGAGAAGGAAAGGAAACTAGAAACAGGAAGAATTCCAGCCCTTATATAGACCTATACAGCTTACTAGAATATTCTATACTTACGTAAGCTGCTTATAAATCAACCCTTAGTTACGTAATATAATAACCTTAAGTAAATAACCCTAACTTAAAACAATAACCTTATAGGAACAACAGAGGTAGAAGGTAGGATCTAGAGAGATCTTAGACATTCTAGTACCTTCTCTAATCTTTAGTTAATTACATAATCAGACATATTTACGTAATTAATATATATATTAATCTACTAAGTAAGTAAATTATAAATATATATATCTTATATATATATAACCTCTATAATAGAGGAAATATAAGATAAAGAAGTATAAGAATACTTAGAGATATTCTTACTTCTAATACTCCCTCTTTTGCTCTATTATAAAGTAAAAGTAGTTAAGTAAAAAAAGTTACCCTAGAGTTATGCAGTAGCATATAAGGTAAATATTAATAAGTATAATAACTTATTAATAAAAAATCCTAATAATAGTAAAAAAAATATACCATATATATAAGTATATTATATAGGCTTATTATTATTAAATAGGCCTATAAGCTTAACAAATTCTTAAAATTTAACCCTAGGAAGGGGTTTTATTAAGCTATCTACAGGCATAAAAGAAGTAGGAATATATTCTACTTCTATATTACCATTTTTAACTTCTTAACGTATATAATAATAATATAAGGCAGTATACTTAGTCCTTTAGTAATATTC